TGGGGACAGCCAGGATCTTCCTTTGATCTTCATACTTCTCTGGGCTTGATGCAAAAATCTTCTGGCATGCATTTGAAAAAGCAACAAACCTACAAACCCAGGAAGGAAGGAACTGGTGACAGAAATGAGGGTAGAGTATGGGCTCAACCCAAAGAGAACCCTTTCCTGGAAGCTTTCCCCTTACCCTCTCTGCTACTTCCTGAGGAAGAGGAATGAAAAACTGACCCTGCTGGGATCAGGACAAGGGAAGAGCTTGGTCTTAGAAGATACAGTCTTCTGTTCCCACCTCTTTGTTTTCTCCAGTTTCAGGCTGCCTGCCTGTCAGGGCTACCAACCTGCCCACCGCTGGTCTCCACTGTGCCTCTGCTAAGATGAGCTCCAGAGACCCTGCTCAGGAAAGGGATACCAGCTCATATCCCCTAGGCCTTCACTCTCCATGGCACATATAGTCTCCACCAATCACCCCATCACCCTGCATCCCATCTATGGAACTTGGGGACCCAGAGTTGCTACCCCAGGCCATGTTATGACAGCCATCAGTACTGGCCTCTGTATCTGTGAAAGTCACCTCTTCTGGCCCCAGGGCACAAGGCTGGATGCAGGGTCTCAGCAAATGACACTTATTTATGAAGCCTTATTCAGTTTAGACGACAACAGGCATATATGGACCCTCAAGCATCTATAAAAGAGGAAGCAGAGAGATGATTAAAAAGAAAAAGGACACAGCAGGTGGGGGAGGTGAGTGGGGAGGGAGTAAAGAGAAGGCCTTGTTGCCAGGCAATCAGGCCCGCTCAAGGCCTCTCCAGGCTATTTGCATATCAATGAGTAGCCCATATTTAGCACCAGAGCTGGGGCACCCACACACTGAATTTCCTCCAGGCTGCCTATCTCTGTGGGCTCCGTCTGGTGTTCCGCTGTCCACCAGAGGCCCTAGGAGGGTTGAAAAGAGCAGAACATCTGCTGCCACCCATGTTGGGCAACTGCCCCAAGGGTGCACTCAGCCCCCACAGTCCAGCCTCTCAGGCCAGTGCTAAGAAACCAGAGAGGTAAATGCCAACTCAGTGACCTCAGGGATGATGAGTGGGGTTGCATGCACAAAACAAAAAGCTGTACCAGAGCCAGTACTGTTCAGAGAGGAGCCAAGAGCCTCACATAGCCACTGGAGCAGCTGAGAAAGTCCCTTGGAAGCAGTTAGTGGGCAGAGGCCGATGAACATTCACAGCCAAAAAATGGGTACACACATACAGGTGAGAAGTAGAAACCACTCTTGAAGAACTATGCTCCAGCACACCCATTCCTAGGCACATGATGCCTCTATACTGCATTATATGTCTAGTCCCTGGCCCATATCTATGCACCCATATGGACTGGGTCACTGTGGACCCTCAGGGGTTGCCATCACAGTCACATTGGGCAGCCTAGGGAACTGGGGGGCTGAGTTTTGAAGTCTGGTAGCACACTAGTACCTACCAACCAAGCTCAAGGGAAGCCTTGGAGGTGGTAGGTGACTCCAGAAACAAGTGACTTACCATTATAATCTACAGCCTTGGCCCCTGCACTGTCCCCTCCAAAGTTGATTTGCATGCTAGTGAAGGTTTCTGACAGTAGAGGTGTTAGGCTCAGTTCCTGAGTTGTATCCCCAGAGCCTAATTCAGTGAGGGGAAGAAAGAAAGGAGAGAAAGGTGAGGGGCATAGGGTCGAAAGAGTCAGGGGAGCGAAGTCTGTGACAAGAATCTAGGAGGGTATCTTCAAGGCCACCAAGTCTCAAGGCTTCATTTGCATATGAGAAAAGTGACAGAGGAGACTTATAAAAGAGGAATAAAGCAAAAGATAAAAGAAGAAAGAGGAAGACCAAGAAAGAATAAGGGATGAAGGAAACCTGGAGGCAAGCAGGCCAGCCTGTGTTGCTGGATCAAGTCTGTTAACTCACCACTGAAGAGCCAATACTCAGGAGAGCTAATGGGAAGAAAATCATGTTTAATCAGGGGTCAGCCCTGAAAAGATGGAGGGAACTATCATCCTCAAGGCATCATCTTGGGAAGCTCAGGTACATGACAAGGCTTTTAGAGAGCAACATACAACAGGGACAGGCTATATGCTAAGCAGGGTCTTTCTCATCCAAGGTGTCCCTCCTCCTCTTCCTCCCCTTCCTTTTCCTGTTCCCTCTCCTCCTCCTCCTCCTCTTCCCTCAGCCAAATATTGAAAGTGACCTGAACATCCAGCTCTTTAAACAAACATAATTACTTTTCTGCAAGGTAAATCTCATAATGGCTTACTTGCTCTGCTGTAGTCAACACACAAGACCAGGATAAGGAAGGAGGTGTTCCACATTCTGGTGACATCTAAAGATCACCAGATATTCTGGTGTTCTGGGTTCTATAAATCTAAAGAAACATCTTTTTTTTTTTTTAGACAGGCTCTCCCTGTAGCCCTAGCTGGCCTGGAACTTTCTATATAGACCAGGCTGGCCTCACTCTCACAGAAATCTGCCTGCCTTCTGCCTCCTGAATGCTGGGATCAAAGGCATGCACCCCCATATCCAGCTTAAAGAAACATCTTAATCATTTAGGGGCATTTTCTTTAGGATTTGGAATACTGAGCAAAAGGAGGGGAAGCATAAAGAAACTCTGCCAAGGACCATTCCCAAAGGATGCCCTTGGCTACCTTGCATCCATCAGGCTCCAAGCCCCGGGCTCCCTTCTCCACAGTCACTTCCACAGTTATGTCAGCAGACCTGCCCCAGATGTCAGCCTTCCACTCTGGGGCTGCTGCCCAGGCCCCGAGGTCCAGGACCTTCCACAGGAGTGGTTCAGTACCCAAGTGTTCGCCTTCTCCTCACTTTCCTCTTTGTTTAATGAACACATCTCCCTTTTTCTCTAATTAGGTGGAACAAACAATTTGAACCAGAATTTTTATTTCCCAGAAAGCACCCGCCTGGACACAGTAAATATGTCATTAATCATCATTCCGAGGCGGAGGAGCACACTGGGCTGGGGAGGAGGGGAAGCAGTCAGAGGGCCTAATTAGAGCTTAGGCCTCCCTGTTCCTCTCCTACCCCCAACCCCACAGCCCCACTCCCACCACCAGGCTCATAGTTGGAGGGTTCTTGGCTCGGTCAAACTTATGTAAATGTCCCTTGTTAGCACCTCAGAAAAGGAAAGGAAAGGAGATGGGAAAAATAATATCCACCCTCTTCCCTCCTCTTCCCTTCCCTCCTCCCCTCACCCTACCCGGAGGTCTTATTTTCATCCAGGAAATTGTTCTTATTATCGCTTAGCTATTTATAGACGTGGTGAGGTCTGCTGAGCAGCCCCAAGCCAACATGGTAATACAGTGCTGGCTGCATGCTCCCTCTACACACTGGCTTTAGTTGGGAGCTAAACTACACAACCCCTGACTCTATTTTAGGGCCTCCAGTTGTACTTCAGGTCCAGCAGCTGACCTGAAGGCTCTCAGCCTGTGGGCTATTGGGATTGGCCCCTTGGACTGCTGGAACAGACCATATGCCTCTTCCCAGCTCCTCTGCCTAGGGTTTGGACAACTCCTCTTCCTAAGGAGGTACTAGAGGACCTCAAGCCACAAGGCCTGAATCTAGCCAGTTTTACATATTCAGGGATGCTCCTCTGCTCTCTGACTGGCTTGGCCTACAGTGGGATGCACTTGTTCAAACAGAGGCTCACACCAGATTCTACTCATCCCAGAGACCACAAGCCAAGCTGAGAAGGACCACCTTGACCCTCTGAGGACTCAGAGGCTAGGTTCCAGCAGCCTATGGGCTACTACTGTTAATTAGCTCAGTAACTAGCCTTCATGGGACTTGATCTCTGTTCCCACCTGCAAGGCCCATGTCAGGCATATCAAGGAGGCAGGGAAGAAAGTTCACACTCAGGGGTACCTGCTCTTAAGTATTAGTCCCAGCTCTGCCCAGCAAGTTCACTTTGAATTCAACTTTCTTTGCAAAATTCAAATAATGTTCCTTCCTTGAAAGGACTCTGAGAATGACACAACTCATTGTTATTTTATGGGAAGTTTTGAGGAAGTAGAGTCATCTATTCCCAGGCTCTAATCCAGGTAAAACAAGACTGCATCCTGCACCCCTTCCCTGGAGGAAATAAAGTCCCTTCCCAGGGGGATAGTCTTTAAAGGTTGAACAGCCTCTAATCCCCACCTACAATGGCATTCTGCCCATACTCCCTCCCCACTGTGTGTCCATCTTAACTGTTGGAGACTAATTCATCACTAATCTACAAAAGAATTCCCATTCTAAGACTGGGGTAGACATGAGTTTGTGGTCAACCCACTGCAGGATCCTAGCGCTGCTTCTACTACCAACTTGAGCATGAGTTTAGTCAAGTTTTATTGTCTTCCTGATCTTGCCTGTGTCTTCCCATCTAAAGGAAAGCACTGGTGTCTGGCAAGCTGTTGTATGATAGGAGTTTTAATGAGATCAGGAAGTATAATCATTTGAAACGTTGCCAAGGCTTACATAGGAAAATAATCAAAGGTCAGTGCACATAGACTTTGCCTACATCCCTACCCAGGCCTGTTCTTACCTCCATGTCTAACTGTGGCTCCTTCTGCAGATTTATTCCTCCTACCTGCTATAACCTCTCCCCTTGCTTGCTGCAGGTCCTGAAACTCACCAACATCACAGAAAACACAGATGCCAGTTAGTTCCTAAGGAGGACCTATCCAAGGCCTCACTTCCATTAGACTGAGATGGGTTTCTGCTGGGCTTTTGGCTTGCAAGTCCAGGCTGATTTTCATCTATCATGGCAATCTCTCTAGTCCTTTTTTCCTTCCATAGCCTATATTCAACCAGGCCAGGATTATATAAGGGGAGCCCCCCAGCTCTATATGGAGACGGGAGCCCTGATCTCCTGAGCTGACCCTACTAATATATGCCTCACTGAGCTGTGACCTGCCTTTCCCATACAAACTCAGGCCATTCCAGCTTAGTAACATGGGGTCTTCTTTTCCTTCTCTACCTCCCCCTGTAGACCTTGCTTAGAGATGGCAAGCGTGAGAGCATTGTCAGCACCCTCTTTATCTCTCCTGGTGATGTGGAAAATGGACAGAGCATTGTGTGTCGCGCCACCAACAAAGCCCTCCCAGGAGGGAAGGAGACTTCGGTCACCATTGACATCCAACGTGAGTACCAACTGGCCCTGTCCAGGCCCAGGACAGGAAACACCCTATGTGGATGTAGTATATGTGTGTATGCAGGTTCACACTCCTGTGCATGTACACAGAAGCCAGGAGAGGGCATTTGGTGTCTTCCTCTATCACTCTCCTCCTATTCTGTTGAGGCAGCATCTCTATCTGAGTGTGGGTCTCATTTTTTCTCTGCTCAATTGGAAGCCAGCAAGTCCCAAGCAGTCCTCCTGCCTCTGCTCCCTGCCAACCCTCAATACCTTACAGGAGGAGTTTTAGGCCTGTACAAGATGCCAGCTTATATTGTGGGTGCTGGGATCCAAACTCTGATCCTCATAACTGTGCAGCAAGTTGTCTTAACCACTGAGCCATCTTTTCAGTCCCTTAAAGCTGATGTATTTAGAAATGCTTCCTAACATCCCTAGGTCATGTAGGGCTGCTGGACTCTTGGCCCTGCCTGGCTCTCCAGAGATATGGGATCCAGAGGATTGTGTCGTAGGATTCCCAGAGCCCATTTTGATAGCCAGAGAAAGGAAGTTTCCCCTCAGTGCCACAAATCCTAACCAATGCCTTTTAGATTGCAGAGGAAGGAACAGTTGTATTAGGTGACTCCAGACATCCTGGCACAATGAGTGCCTAAAGGAAGACTCTACCTTCACTATCTTGCCATTTGCTATTAGCAAACTTCCTGGCCCAACCCCACCCCTAAGGCTGTTTCTTCTGTTCCTCATTCGGTGAGATTGGGAGTACAGAGTTCTTACCAAGCCTGGAGCTAGGGAGATGAGAGAAGCTGGAGGAAAGCACCCAGGGCAGTGTTTCTCTGTCCCCTGGTCTTGATCCTGCCTTGGGTCTTAGCACCACCCAGCAAGCAGGTGAACAACTGTGGCCAGGAGCAAAGCCAATTTGAGAAAGGAGGCAAGATACTGGTTGGGCAGGGGATTGAACATCCAGAATGGCTCCATCACGATAAGCCAGACAGTCCTAAACTAGCCTGTCTGGGAACTCCAATTCCTTGTCTGATTTGATGACGTCATTCAAAGAATAATCAAGGCTGAGCACTCTCATGGAGACACAAGGCAAATACAGGGAAATGAGGGTAGGAGACACAAAGTATCTTAGGCGCCTGCTTCCTGGCTGCCATTTGTGGTTACCTGTGGCCCTGTCCTCCTGCTCCCTAGCCCCACCTAGGCAAGAAGCTGTGCCAGCTACAGAATCCCACACAAATATAATATAACACCTAGCTGGTTCCCAGATAGCTGCCAGGACCCTGGCAGGGAAAGATGGAGAAGGAACAGCAGTTCTGCCCCAGACCACTATCCATCACCCCATGATAACCTCTCCCAGGGAAAGTCATCATTCTAACAGCCACCCTGCCACTCAAGCACATCCTTCCTCTAGATTCACTCCAGCCAGAAGGAGGATTGACCTAACTGCCTAGATAACAGGACTGTATCCAAGAGGATGCATAAATGAGGCTAGCATGAAGCTTAGACCCAGGCTTCAGGTATCCCAGCTGGGATCCTTCCAAGGCAGTGCAGGGTGGTGGTTGGTGGTTGAATTCTGGCTCTGCCACTTACTGAGTGACATTAACCTCATTAGTGAATTGATCTGTACCTCAGTGTCCTCATTGGCACATAGAGGGAGTCATGTCTGCCTCTTAAGGTTACAGTGAAGATTAAATAACATCATTTATATCATTCCCTAGCACAATGCCTGACACATTATTGGTACTGTATCTGTTGTGACAGATATGTGGCAACTCCTAGATGTCTTTACAGCTCTATTTGACCCAGCAGTTCATCTTCCCTAGTCAAAAAGGGCCTAGGCCTTCTCCGTACTTCCTTTCCCTTCCTCTTCCTTCCTTTTCCTCTGATTCATTTGCTCATTCAGTAAGCATCCAACTGTTTGGTGTGGACACCACAGGCTGGATCAGAGCCGCCTTTGCAAACCTGCTCATTTTATCAGTCAACCGAGAAGCCTCCAAACTCAGCAAAAGCACATTTGTTGTTTGTTTCCCTTGGTCTTTATATGTTACCCAACGGAAGACAAAGCTCCCAGATTGAGTAATGGGAGAGAAAGCGTAACATCCCCAAAGCCTCACCACATCTGGACTCCGTCCAGCTGCCAAGTTTCAAATGGAGGCACTATAAAATCACTGAGTCATGAAGTTTCTTCCCTACCCCAACACTTCCCCTGAAAACTCATACACACACACACACACACACACACACACACACACAGGTTGCTGATGGAAACACTAACAGACACTCAGCTGTAACATCTGTTCAATGTGATCTCAGTTCCACCCTCCTGCAAGTTATGCAGCCAACATCACAAGTGGGATTAAAACCATGTTTAATAGTTGGATGTGACATAAACTATTTATACCTCTGGAGTTTGGCAGACTCCTAGAAATTCACATCCTGCACATCCAGGGGATGTGAGAGAGGAGCTTGGCATCCCTGCATCAGGGATAGAGTTACAGATGAATATGACTGGTGTAGAGCCCCATGGGCCTGTTCTCTAGAGACCTCCCAGGACAGGCTAGAAACCAAAGGTATTGCAAAGAATGAGGGAAGAAGCATGAGAGGACCCCACAGAGCAAACTGATAACAAGGGTATACAACAGAGCATCTGGCCACAGGAAGTGTCCTCCAGCAGGCGTGTGCTCCATCTCTCTGCTTCCCAAGGGATCATCACTGTGTAAAAGGACACCAGCTGAAGGATGGGCCTTTGGAAATTACCTCCAAGCTCTGCAATGGGTTTCTAGATTCTTTTGAACTGACATTGTCATTTCATCAAACAAGAGTTGGATTGAGGTCCTCCGCCATCAACCAAGACAGGATTTCACAGTGTGAGGCCAGCTGTACACAGGAGACAAGATGGCAATTAGTGAACTCCTAGTCTCTGGAAACAAACTTTCCTACCACAAGCCCAAACCCAACCTGAGTCTCCACAGATACACAGCTTGGTCAGCCTGCCCTGCACAGGAGAGTGAGACATACCCCCCACCCAACCTTGCCCCAGAAGCCACTGGGCAGCACTAAAAAAATACTACAGGGTTTGTTGGAAGAAGGGTTGTGCTTCTCCTAGAAGGTAGAAGGAGAGTTCTGGTAGTGCTTCCTTGCCAGAGTGAGCCCTTGAATCTTGCTTTGAAAACTGAGATTGAGGTATATGAAATACCCACCTGTGTTTCTCAGCTTCCTGACATTATAATAAATACCTGAGTTAGTCAACTTATGAAGGAAAAAAGGTTTAGTTCAGTTCACAGTTTAGGAAGCTCCACTCCATGATCAGGTAGCCCCATTGCTTTAGATGTGTGGCAAGACAGCACATCATGGCAGGAGTGCATGGTGGGGCAAAAGCACTCATTAATGGCCAGGGAGCAATTGGAAAAAAAAGAAGACACTGGGATCCTACATTCCCAGAAGAGCATCCTCCTCTAGACTTCCCACTATCTCCACCTCTCAAAGGTTCTTTCCTCAAACACATGCCCCTGGAGACCAAGTCTTTAACCCATGACCCTAGGGGTTCATTTAAGTTCCACACTATAGCACCATAATGTTCCCTGTAATCTCCCATAAAGTTACACAGGCCAGCTGCTCCTGTAACCAGATATTTCACTCATCTGTGGTCCCCCATCTGGAACAGCGAGAGTGTGAGAACAAACTCCCAAGCACAGGTGGCTACCTGCTGCTCAGGAATGGAGTTCTCTCCTGACATCTACAGATATTAGCACAGCTCAGTGGGCATCTCCCAGGCCTAGGCCTGTGCCCAGGCCCAGAGCCCAGCCTTCGTGCCCAGCACTGGCTTAGCCTGAGCAGCAGTACATGGAGGGAGTCCAGCAGTCAAAGGGTCCAACCTCCGAGTTTAGTCTGTGGCTGAATCTCGGGACCCTCCTGTAGACTTCAACCAACAATCCAGAGCAGCAGGGGGTACTGCTCACGAATATTCTCCACAGCCTCTGAGAAACTGTCTTCTTTACTTCTTTTTTTTGAAAATGAGCTGAATCCCTAGAAATGCCGTGAACTTCTGGACATCTGCTCTGCTCACTGGTGGGCACTGGCTTAGGAGATACAGCCCAGGGTAAAAAGAGACCATAGGGACCCAGCTGCCCTCTGGCTCAGCCTGGAGCTGTCCTCTAGCCAAGCTACCAGGCCCTGACAAGGAAAAAGCCTACACTGGCTTGACTCCCCTCACCTGCACTTGAGGTGCCTAGGGTGCCAAGACTTGGGAGCTGTGGGGAGCCCAGAAACAGGATAAGTCAGCTTTTGGAGGTGTGGTGCCCAGAAGGGCAAAGGCAGACTTACACAAGGCCATTCACTGGGCTGATGTTCACCTCTCTACCTCTGCTGCAGACTCTGAGGTTCTAGCCTGTCCTTCCATTCACCCCATCTCTCCAATTCCTTTTTTAAGCCTTCATTGTTTTGTGTGCTCTTTCTCCCCAACACCCTATCATTTTCTGTCTGTGTGCCAGGCCTCTCATGGTCTTTTCTGTTTTCAGTGCAGTATCTTTGTCTAGTTATATGTCTCTGTGCCGAGGCCCATCTCCCTCTCCTCATCCAGCCCCTCCCTTTGTCTCTCTCTCTTTCTCTTTTTCATACCCTTCTGCAGTTCTCAGTGTGCATATTTGTGTGTCTTTCCATCTCTCCCAGTCTCTTTCCCCTCCCTCTCCCTCATCTCTATACTTGTCTCTGTACCTCTCTATCTCCCTGTTCTCTCTCTTTCTCTCTCTCTCTCTCTCTCTCTCTCTCTCTCTCATCTCATCTCAAATTCTGTCTATGTTGTGTGCTTTGCCCCCACCAACCCTTCTGTGCAGGTATCTCTGTGGACTCCTGGTCTCTCTCCCCCCTCTGACTTTCCGTCTCTTCTACCTCCCACCATTTAGCACTTCAGAGCTTAGCTTCTTATCATGTCAGATGAGAAAACGAGGGCCCTAGCTCAGGATGCTGAGGGCCTGGTGACACCAGTCAGGACTCAGCGGAGATGATTGTGCTGATGAAAGGGTGTAAATGCCACTTTCAAGTTACCAGAGGCCCCACAACCTTTACACAGAGAGATAATAAACAGACATTTCACAGACAGAAAGCTCGATGGTCTGAGCATCCCCCTTCCCACCACTCCTGCCTCAAGCATTCTCCCTGGAGCCGTGGAAGCTGAAGCTGGGCTGCCTGTATGTTTTGAGAGCCCAGGAAGCTGGAGATCCACATCTGGGGGTTCATTTCTATTTAGGCCTTGAGTCCACAGAGGGACCTGCATCCAGCGCCGAGGGCTTTCTGAAGCAGGCATCTCCAAGGAATAGAATAACCTCCTGATAAGGCCTCCTCGACTTTCTGGGGACCCAGCAGGATAGTCCCTGGGTGTTGGGATCCCTGGCCTTGCCTCTCCATATCCTCCCACCCCATTCTTTAGCCAGTCTGCAAGCAAATGTCTTCTCCCTGCAGATCCCCCGCTTGTCAACTTGTCGGTGGAACCACAGCCAGTGCTGGAGGACAATGTGGTCACGTTCCACTGCTCTGCAAAGGCCAACCCAGCTGTCACTCAGTACAGGTGAGCAAGCATCACTGCTGTGAAGACAGCTTGGTCTGTGGCTCCTTCACCTCCATATCTGTCACGTGGAATGTCACACATGGCCACAGTGTGTGGTTCACAGTGGGTGTCCAAATAGCCTCCTCCTTCCCCCACATGTCACCCCCACCTGCTGACCAGGCAGACCCTCTCTTTCCTTCAAGCACACATCACTCCTTTCCATAAGAGGGAGCTAGCAGTGCCCCTCCTTTTTCAACGGTTTGTTTATTTCATATTTCTGAAAAGACAAAGCAAGACTCAGGCAAAGTCAAAACAGTCAGCAGAACTGGTAAGTCAGTGCTTAGTGCTATGTAGCTGGCCACGGCCCAGAGGGCACCTAGGATCCTGCATAGCTACCACCCCCTGTGTCCTCACCAGCATCACTGATAAAGGCATCACTGTTTTCTACATGCTTGTCTCTGCATTCTGACAGAGTTTCTCGAAGGCAAGAACTTCAATTTAGTGACTTATGGCTCTCAGCATGCAGCACACTGCGTGGTATAAACTAGGCACTCCTTATAGGCATCTGACTAACAGAATAAACGCACAGAGCTGCTCCTCTGGGCACCTTCATACATCACCACATGCATTCCAAAAAATAAGTGACCTCAGAGATCTCCAAGAACAGGCTCAGGGTGTTCAGTCTTTTATATGTTTCACAGAGCTCCCCATGACTATAACTGCCCTGTAGCTTCCTACCACCTCAAGCTTGTCAAGAGAGCCCAAGGCATCACCTCCACCATGGATCTGGGTTATTAAGCTGCAGCCTCAGCAAGTGACAAGGATGCTAATGGTCCCAGGAAAGCAGCACCCGGGGGGGGGGGGAAGAAGAGGGAAGACATGAGGCAGTGCAGCCCCAGCAGGCAGAAAGAAGGGCAATGGACCACAGAGGCAGCCAGGGCAGGCTTGGAGTGGACACAGGGAGCAGTTCCAGCTCCCTGTAGTGTGGATGACAGAACGGCACGGGGGCCAGAAACCAGGAAGGGCCTACAGCATTTCCATCCATCCTGCCAACTTAACCCTTGCCTGCAGTGAGGACAGGAAGATCAGACAGCTCCTGGCACTCCTTCCACATGGAGGAAAAGGAACACCACCCCACCCCTCACATCCTCCTCCCACTCCCAGGAATCCCATAACCCATTCAGATCCCAAGGGTTGGAAGGCACATCTCTTTGAACTTCTTCTACCTGTGACTGCTAGCCCTGCACTTCTCCCTTCTGTCTGCCCCCAGGTCTCAGCTCAGGGACCCTAGATAGGTATAAAATACCCAAAAGACATTTCAAATGCCAGTTCCCATTCATCCACAGATACCTCCTACCAGACAAGCAGACATTCTGCCCACCATCACAACCATTCCCCAAATGCCGATGGGCCCAAAAGACTGGGATGAACAACTTCCCACTTCTAAGTCTTGTCACTGCCAGGCTCTCTGTCACAGGACAGGACCCGAGGGGAAGGGGCAGAAAGCAGTGCAGGGCAGTATGCTCAGTCAGTCAGCAGCTTCAACTCACAGGGCAGACACCACATACTTGCCTTCTGACCTCAGCAGGGTTCTCAGCTACTGGGTCTGACTTCCAAGATCACCTACCTCAAAGACACAAAATATCAAGGATTAGAACAAAGTGTGGGTCTACATAAGGAGGTCATTACAAAACACATAAGACCTAATGTGAACAATTAGTAAATTCAGATGAAGAAAAGACAGCAGCTAGTGGGATTAGCAAAACTTTTCCTTCATTTTTTAAACTATTTTGTTACTTTTATTTTATATGTATGAGTGTATTGGCTGCGTGTATATACGTGCGCCCATGTCGTGCAATGTCTGCAGAGGTCAGAAGAGGGTATTGGATTCCCCTGGAACTGGAGTTACCGAATGGTTGTTAGCTGTCATGTGGGCATTGGGAATCAAACCTGGGTCCTCTGCAAGAACAGCCAGTGCATTTAACTGCTGAGCCATCTCCCTAGCCCCAGAAAACTTTTCCTTCGTTTTGAAGTTTGTGTTTTCTTCAAGCTAACAAGTTAATAAATGAACACACAGAGGACATGCAATTTCCCTAGACCATTAGTCTTGTAGGATTTCTTTTCTCTCTATCCTACCCTGAAGCACTCGGAATCCCCCATCAGCTTCTGATGTAAGAAGAGGGGCAGGAATGACTGGGCTTCCCAGAGATGGTCGCTGTTCTTACTACCGTGGGCCTTCTGATTAGATAAGCGTTCTGAAAGCATGTCAGTACCAGCTTGGGCTCACTTCAGTACTCAAAAATCTTTGGGGAGCCTTTCTGGCCCCCAGGAAGAGGTGGGGGAGCTGTAGAGGGCTAGACTATGAAGGACAGAGACTGTGAACTCCTGCTCAACTCCTTCCCTGCAACAAGGTCTTACCAGCAGCCCATGTGCATTCTCCACATGGCACTGGGACCCAGGAGGAAATACCTGAAGCAAATCTATCACATAAGAACATTGATTTTTTTTCCCAACTGATGTTGACAAGATTACAGGGATCTTTGCTTCTTCCATTTGTTCATCTTGATTGCTTCCTTTCTGGTCCAGTTAAGAGGCTGTAATCTCTGAAATTAGATGTGCACCCTCCCCAACTCCTAACCCAAGATGGGGCCTGGCTGGGCATGGAAGCTGCCACTTCACTAGCCCCAGGGACCCAGGGTCCGAATTAGTAGGCCAGGCCTAAGCACATCAAGAAGTATTCTGGGCTTTTTCCCTTAAAGGTCTTTCAGTGTCCCCAGCAGAGATGGAGTAAGAGACTGCACTGGCCCAGATGAAATATGCAGGGCTGTTTGACATGCCAACCTGGAGCTGTGACATGTTGGGCCTCTTGATTCTGTGATATAAATAATTAATCCTCTTACATTTGTGCAGACCAAATTAGACATTGATTGGAAAGGCTTAAGCTGAGGCAGTTCGCAGAGGGCCTGGGAGAGATAGTGGAAGCAAGGTAGTGGAGACCAGGCAGAGGAGGTTGAGCCACAAACCCAGAAGATGGGCAGGGGGTTAGTGGGAGGGGGTGGGTAGAGGGAGACTGCTCTTTGGTTCTAGCCTTGACCCTGTGACCCCAGGCTGGAATGAGGTGCTCTGAGCCTTTGGGCTTCTGGAAGGGCCCTCAGAGGGGGCTGTTTGGTGTAGAAGGGGGAAGAAGAAGAAGGGAGGGGAAGGACTAGATAAGCAAGATATCAACCTAGGGGGTTGGGGGACAAAGTCACCTTCTCCAAAGGCCCTGGGCTCAGCCTTCTGAGAACTCAACCCTACAGCCAACTCTCTCCTCACTCCATCACCCTGAAGAGGAAAGAGAATTTCTCTTACCCTCCCACCACCTCCAGTGGAAGAACAGGACCACAGTGGGCTGGTTCAGACCTCCTCTGAGGTAGGAAGCTTCCTCTTCCCATGAAAGTCACATCTTCTTGTCTCCTCCCTCTTTCTGACTCCCTGGGGTGAAAAGAAAGACCAACCTGGTTTAGAAGGTTAGGGTAACCACAGACCCTGGAGCAAGTGGGCTTCAGGTCTACAGGCCTGCAGTTCTGATAACTGAGCCTGGGAGCAAAACCCTCCCTGAAATTCCCAGTAAGGCTCCCAGACAGGGAAGGGAGACTCTCCTGTCTTCTCCAGGAGCCTTGAGAAAGAAGAACCTGCCCATCTGAACCAGCCCCACTGGGCACAGGACCAGCTCAGTCCCATACTATAAGCCCCAAGTGCAGAGAAGGTTGCCTGGGCCTCTCTCTGCTCAGCCATCAGCTCCCCACCAACCTTCTCCCAGTGTCCCACCACTCATAAGCCCTCCCCTCAGCAGGATGGAAGCTGTAGAGGCTGGGCACTGATCCCCATCTGTGTGTCTGGAACAGAATTAATCCACCTCAGGCAGGGGCCGTACTTGACTATTAAGTCTGGCCATTAAATTAAAGTTAGGAATTGAAACGATTCATGAATAACTCATAATGGTTTGTTGGGAAGCTCCTTAAGCTCTCAGAGAGCTATGGTTTGCTCTGTTGTTAAACCATAATTGTTATTATTAATCGTGTTCTTAATAGTCACTCAATATTAATTCAAGATAACAACCACATGGTGCCAGCCTAGGTGTTCCTTGGGATATAGAGAAGTAGCCACCTCTCTTGGGACTAGACAGGCCACATTGAGCAAGGAGCTAGTGAAGGGAAGGAGGAGACAGCATCAGTGTCGCCAAGACAGGGCCAGGAGCAGAAGAAAGAGGGGAAGAGAAGCAGCAGCCGCCATAGGGAGTAGTGAGTGCATGTAGAGCAGTGGAGCCCAGAGGAATCCCCATCCCTGAAGCACTCACCCCAAGACAGGCTGCGGATGCCTGGGAGCCTGATTAGAAGTTTTATCTTTTCAAAGAGTGAATGTTGTCCACAGAAGGATTAAAGCAGGAAGTTCTCCCCTTAGGAAATCTATAAGGAAAGCCCCCACTTCATGTACAGGCATACACACAGGCACATATACACACATGCACACAGGTGCATATGCATATACACTTGCATACATGCAAACCCACATATACACATGCACATAGGCACACACACACATACCCTCACATGCACAAATACAAATACAGATACACATGCTCACACTTGCACACATATGCACATAAGCATATATACTTGCACACATGCATACCCTCCATGTACACATAGAAATGCATGCACATACACCTGCACACATACAAACCCTCACATACACATGCACACAGGCACATATGCACATACACTTGCATGCATGCAAATCCTCATATACACACATGCACATAAGCACATACACCGGCCCCCACCCAACTGCAACCGTAGCCTCAAAGTAACAAAGCCAGGGTAAGAAGGCAGAGTCCACAAAAAGTAAAAGCAAGTTTTAGTTCTAGAAAGGAGGCTAAAAGGAATTGCAAGCAGATGGGACTCTGTGAGGGACCCATGCTGGGGTAGAACATGGGTCAGAACTGAGAGAATTGCTGAGTGACAGCATAATATAAGGGGTTCAGTAACCATACATCTTCTCATTTGGTCTGGGACTCAAGCTTCCTTGAGCCTAACTTTTCTGTGTGTAGAGGGGTATATACATGCACATGTGTGACTACAAGCATGTTCAGGAGCATACACTGTTAAAACTCACCTCTGAAGTCATAGACTCAGCCACCTTTTCCTACATGGCCAAGGACAGGATCCAGGATAGAACTCAGAGCAGACCAGCCAGGCTGTCTGGTGACTGACAGTTGGATTGCACGTTGACTGGCCTCCATGGCATGGCCAGTCAGGTAACTGACTCACCTCCAGAATAATCCCCTTGTCACATGCCTCTGACTGCCTGGTGACCATGGTTCAAAGCTTATCATCTCTATGACCACCTGGTAGGGGCAAGACCATGTCCTCCTCATTTTCTTGTGAGATAGATATGTCTAGCTTCTCAAGGGATGACCCCCATAGACCTCTGGCCTCGGTTGCAGGTGGGCCAAGCGGGGCCACATCATCAAGGAGGCATCTGGGGAGCTGTACAGGACTGCCGTGGACTACACCTACTTCTCAGAGCCTGTGTCCTGTGAGGTGACCAATGCCTTGGGCAGCACCAACCTCAGCCGCACAGTGGACGTCTACTGTGAGTATGGGGCCTCAGGGGCACCCTGGGGAGCAGATGCCAGGTAGACTCTGAGATACCACAGCTGGTTATTACCTGCAGCACAGTATGCTACACTTTGTGTGACAGGGCCTTCTAGTACTGTTCCTGCTTATTGATCTTTAGAATGCCCTGGTGAGGCAGTGCCAGCTCAGTGCAATAACTAGTTAACATGGACTGAGTGGGTTAGCAGCAGGAATCAGGGGCCAACATGGCTGCTCTCATGTGGGCTCCCTACCCAACTTCCATGCTATTTCTCACTGTGGCCTCATATGGCAGAGAAGAAAAGAAAACAGGCTCTCTTCTGCCCCTTCTTAAAGCACTAATCCTATCTAAAAGGCTCTGTCGGGCTGGACAGATGGCTCAGCAGTTAATAGCACTGATTTCTCTTGCAGAGGACCTGGGTTCAGTTCCCAACACCCACATAGAGTCTTACAACCATCCATAACTCAGTTCTGGGGCATTCAGTGTCCTCTTCTGACCTCTGTGAGCATTGTACATGTGTGGTATACTTACATACATGCAGGCAAAACACTCATACACATAAAATAAATCAATCAAAAAATTTTTTTCTTAGACGATTCTTCCCTCATGACCCAATCATATCCCAAAGGTCTCACCTCTTACACCATCAAGCTAGAGGCTTTCAACACAAGAATTTGAGGGGGGCACAAACATAAGTAGATCTTATTATTTCTATTATCAAAATGAGGGAGACAGAAACTCAAGAGTACGTGGTGAGTAAGTGGCAGGGTGAGAACTGAGGCCAGGCTCTGACCAAATTCATCACATGTCCACACACTCCACTGTCCCATTGAGGGTCCTCAACAATAGGCTGGCCTCATCTGTAGGGCCACTGGTGAAGAAGGGAGGCTTTCTTTTTTCTTTTTCACATATCATTAGCTCACACGCTTCCTAGCAAAACCTCAGCAGAGGTATTATTTCTCTTCTTTTACATCATGAAACTAGTCCCTATCTCCCAATCCCAGATTTCAGGCTTTGTTCCCTGAAGGAAATGTTCCAAGGCCTGCCTGGGCAGCTCTCTACACAACTCAGCCACTGTATGAACCAAGTCATGGTCTTTATACCAGTGTGTTGAAGGAGGGCAGAGAGGCGCTCTCTCACGCTTGGCAAAGGTGTGAGATATGGGACCAAGGGCTAGTCTACTTCCAGAGGCCTGAGAAAGGGTCCAGGGATGTCTGGAATAGAAGACAACCTGAGAATACTGGATGGAAGACACCCTAGGAGGGGACTAGGGCCTTGCCTACTTCCTCATCTTTGAGTCCTCTTGGGAGGGCACCTGAGAGGGCTCCAGTTGGGCCAGGTCATAATCCCAAAGCCCTATATTTCTGGAGTAGAAGTTAGGCTCCCCCACAGTAAGTAGGGTTCCCTCAGCTTTCTGAAGCCAAATATGATGAGAGAGAGAGGAGAGAGAGAGAGAAAGAGAGAGAGAGAGAATGAATGAATGAATGAATGAATGAATGAATGAGAGAGAGAATATGGGTAGAAATTGGCTTTAAGTGCCTTCTCCTGGGACTGGTGCTTTCTTCCCTGTAGACCCAAGAGAAGTTGAGCTGGGGGAGAGATGGCTCCTCCTTACTTCCAAAATCCCTCTCCTGGACTCCAGGCCCAGCCTAGTCAAAGAAATAAAACCAAGACTAGTAAGCTGGAGTTGATTGTGGGGGCTAGTACCCCTCTTCCTCCGCTCAGGGTAGATGAAAAGGGAAAGGAAGCAAGAAGGGCCCCAGAGCTCCTCAGCCCACCTGAGCCCATCTCGTCCTTTCTTCCATCACAGTTGGTCCCCGCATGACCTCAGAGCCTCAGTCCTTGCTGGTGGATCTAGGCTCAGATGCAGTCTTCAGCTGTGCCTGGATTGGCAACCCATCCCTGACCATTGTGTGGATGAAGCGGGGCTCTGGTGTGGTAAGTCTTCAGCCCAGGCCCCAGGGTCCTCTGGCAGAGATGGGGGATAGACAATGGAACAGTCAGGAGGGCCTTCACTATTGGATTGGGAGAGTCAATTTCTTTGATCTAGGGTAGTTTACCCAAGCACTAGAAAGGCTTTTCATCTCTCCCAGATAGAACTACCTTTAGCCTTAATGCTGTGTTTTGGGGACAGGCAGAATGAACCAACCCTGGGGAAGCCTATTATGCACGAAGCCTATTATGCACCAATAGCTCCTGTACTGTCTCAGGTGGCATCATAGCTCCCATTAGATGAACGAGGAACCTGAGCTCCTGAGATGGTCAGTGACTGACCAATGCCACATGAATAATCAGTGCTCAAACCAGATCTAGCCAATACCCAAGTCTGCTTTCTTATTATCACCTCCAGCTGTCACCCAAGGGGATGCTGAGAATGATTCAGAAAACACAGGTCCAGGGACCCTCCAGATTCAGTTGTAGAATAATTTTACCTATGGCCAGCTGAGAGGTAACAGGAGGTCAGCACCCTCTCCCTGCTGAAGAAGCCAAGGGTCCCCAGTTAGGGAGCCCCACACTCTTTCCTCCACTGTGCATGCACCTTGGGGGAGGGGGTTCTCCATGTGGGTGGGGTCTCCTCTCCACAGCCCTAGTGGCAATGACCATCTCTCATCTCTCACTTCACCTTGGTGTTTACGGAGGTGCTGGAGTGTGTGTCAGCCATATGGTACCCTGACAGAGGGAACCCTTCCCTTATTCTTTGTGTCTGATCCTCTTCCATCCTTTCAGGTCCTGAGCAATGAAAAGACCCTGACCCTCAAATCTGTCCGCCAGGAGGATGCTGGGAAGTATGTGTGCCGGGCTGTGGTACCCAGGGTAGGAGCCGGGGAGCGAGAGGTGACCCTGACTGTCAATGGTAAGACCCCTCAATGGGATGGGGAAATAGAAAAGAGGAAAAAAAAACCAAGGTTACTTGGTACCAGGCACTGCCCCAAAGGGGCAGTCACAGGCTCTAGAAAGTGCTGCCCCTAACACAGCATTCTGTCTACCTACTGAAGTCCCCGTGAGAGGCCAGGCTAGAGGTGAGGGCAGTTGGAGAGTTTGTGGACACTTTTCTCCTTTTCATTACCTTCAAAAGGGCCTCATCCTAGGAGTGGTAGCTGGCAAATTTGATCCTGGCTAAGAAAAAGGGATCAGAGATCACAGGATGACCATACTCCCCTACCTACCTTTTGACTGATCCACTTATCCTGACAGAGCCAATGGAAAGTTTAAGGGTGCACCTCCCACTTCTCATGGTCAGCCACTTCCCATTGTATTAGAGCCACTCAGCCAAGGAGACTTGTCACCATCCACAGGGACCAAGTCAGGGGTATGTCTTATCATACACAGTGAAAATAACCACAGCAGGAGAGGGTGTGTTCATAGTGGGAATTAATCGATAGCTGGTCTGTGAAACACTGAGGGGCAGGAGCATCAGACAAGGCCTGGATGCTGGGATGGAGGCAGCCATAAGGAGCTAGGACCAGCTCAGGCCAGACCCAAGAAAGTTGTGACACCAAGCCAGAAGTCTGAAGATCCCTGCTTCGTGAATATTTGGGCTATGGTCAGAAACCAGAGCTGCCTGTTTACAAGGGTAAGAGATGGGAAGGCCTGACCCTACTGCTGTGCACTAGTGGTCAGTCTGCCTCAGATCAGGCCCATCTGTGAGAGCCTCAGCCCCCCAGAGCAGGGCCAGAGTAGGGAATGAGCCAAGTTCTGGAAATGAGCACAGTAACTGCATCTCAACCCAGGAGGCCACCCACTGACAGTCTCATCTATTCTCCCCCTTCACTAGAAAACTGAGCCCAGTGTGGTATCTCGTCAGCACCCCTCTGCTGTCCCCATTAGCCAGCTCCTACCTGGTTCCTCTCCTCTCTCCCGGAGGGGCAGCTGCTGCAGAGGAAGGGGCTCTCTACCTAGACCCCAGAGCATTCACATACCACCTATCCCAGGCAGAGCCCAGACTCCCAAGCCCTCCTGTCTTTCCTGCGTGTCCCCAGGATGCCACCAATAAATTGGCACTGCAGGTCTAAAAATAACAGCATCTGATCGCGCTTCAGTATATCCATGGCAACACAGGCTGCAGCCTTTTCCTGCCGGCGCCAGAGTCTGACACTTGGCTCAGTGTGCCAGGCCACAGTGAAATCGGCAGCCCTCCCTGATGCCCACTCTGGGGAGGGCGCTGGGGAGTCAAGCTGCCATGCCTGCTGTCAGCTGTGACCCTTGGGCTGGGGATCTTCAGATACACACATGCCCTCCAGGGTCCCCAAGCTTGAAGCTATTAACTGAGCATCCTTGTTAAGGGAAAAGGGAGATGTAAGAAGGGGCTGACATTTTACTGTCACTTTTAGACATTCCGATATTTCTTAATGGGGACTTAAAGAGATTTCTTGGGGAGAGAATCCTTTCTCTGCTCCTGCAGAACATACACACCTCAGAAGGACCCACACTCCACCCTGAGCCCTGGCATCTAGCCAGTGTTTAATCTTCCCATCCTTTCTCAACCTGCACTCCTTCTCCAGGTTACCAGGCAGAGGGCAGCTGAAAGGAGTGGCCTGACCAAGGAAATGGCTCCTTGTTTGTTTCCACATCACACTGGTGGAGACTGGATGAAGTGGCCCAAAGGGAGGAGCCTGCCAGCTTCCGTTAGGGATGGATGTAGGACAGGTGGAGGGGTGGTAAGGCTGGAAGACAGGGGCTGGGCATCCAGGACAAAGCCATTCCCATCTCTGCCAGGCTCTCCTGTGAGCAACAGCCAGTCCACTGGCCTTTGGGGAATGAATTGGCATTGCTGTCACTTGAGCAGGCTCAAAACCAGCACCTGCAGGAAGGTGGTCGCTACAGATGGCTCTAAGCCTTCCTTTACCCTGGTTTTTGTTTTCTTTTTAAGAAACCCATAAATGCATATGTATTTGTTGACAGCTTTTACAATCCTATGAACCCCTTAGAGGAATTCCTAGTTTCTGGCTAGTAAAAGGAAAAGGTTTTACAGGATCATCACTTCTTAACTCAGCAGTAAAGCAAAGCACCGTCCAGGTTCCTCAGAACACAGAGTCTTATGGCTTGGGGTCAAAGAGCTGTTGGAGGAAAGCAAGCCCATCCTTAAAGCTTTCTGGGGGCAAGGCTCCTACCTTGAGGTCTTCCCACGTCCCTGTACCACGCAGTCATTTGCATTCTAAACTCAGAAGCCAGCTCTTCCAATACCTTCTTTCCCCTTGGCTGAGAGCTACTCATAGAAATGCAAATCTGTTTTAATTAAGGTGGTTAATAAACAGCAATTATGTTTGCAGCAATTTTTGTTTTGTTCCCAGCATAATTTTGCCCGTTCTCCAGATCTCTTGTTCTTAGCTGTCTTCCCTCTGTTCTACCTAAATCCCAACCATCACTCCAGGGACTGGGAACTGGTGGGAAGGTTTCCATCCCTATCTTCATCCCTCAACAGCCCATCTCAGCCAGAAAGTTAACTGAGCAAGTAGATAAACTAGCCACTCCTCCTGTCCCTTTTACTGTCAGATAGTGCCACATAAGAAAGACTTAAGTTAGATAAGGAGCAGAACTGGGAAGGAAGAAAGTGCTATGGAACAGGTTCTACTCCAGGTGGACTGTCTTGACTATCCAATGTGATAGATGACTCTGCCTCAGAATCAATCTCAATCTCTCTCTCTCTCTCTCTCTCTCTCTCTCTCTCTCTCTCTCTCTCTCTCTCTCACACACACACACACACACATGTGTCCCAGCACCAATCTCTCTCTCTCTCTCTCTCTCTCTCTCTCTCTCTCTCTCTCTCTCTCTCACACACACACACACACACACACACACACACACACACACACACACAATCTGGATGAGATAATATTGGGGTCAGTTTTAGAACGGTTTCACCTGGGTTGTCTGGGTGTGCATGTGGAGACAGACAAGATAATGAATTACAGGATCTCCTGAGACCTACTGCGGCCATCAGACTCTGCCTTTGCAGGGTAATTCCCATCTTAGGTGGGGGAACAGCACCACTTTTCCTCCTCCCTCCCTGGGCCAACAAATGGCACTCAATTTGTTAGGCAAGTGTGCCCTCTCCTGGAGAGCTGAGAAATGGCTTGAATTCAAACAGGGGGGCAAGGAGGGGTGACATTCTGTATAGTCTTCCTTCACACTTGCACTTGCCCCGACTCCCTCCCTGGGCTCACCACCTCCTTTGCAAAGCAGTCCCCATCCACCATATAGAGTTATTCTCTCTCCTCTGAGGTTGCTTAGCACTTTATCTGCACTGCTCCTGTGGTATGAACACTTGCCATCTTTATTACAGTTATTTATGTCTTCTGGGGATTCTGACTTGGAAGCATTCACTCATGATCCCCAGAGAGGTTTATAACTGAATGCTTAATTTATCTTCAGGTCCCCTACCTCATACTCTGCCTTGCACGTACAGGCCTTCTGTAAATGTTTGATGAATGCTTGGATTAATGAATATACTTCTGAACCCACCTAAGTGGGTAATCAGCTGGAGCTCTGCCCTTCTGCATCCCTAACGTGATGTGATGTCATCTTCCCAACAGGACCCCCTATCATCTCCAGCACACAGACCCAGCATGCCCTCCACGGTGAGAAGGGCCAGATCAAATGCTTCATCCGGAGCACGCCACCACCTGACCGAATCGTAAGTGCTCCAGGGAGGGAGGGCTGACCAATTGGTGCACACCTTGGAGCCTCTCTCCTTTCCATGGGGAAAAATAATATCGATCTGTGTCTTGGGAATACATCCTGATGACAAAATAGCAGGAGGCAGCCTCCTGTCTCAGAACACACGTGCTTGGGGTGCGGATGTTCCCAAGTGCCAGTGTGAATGGTGCTGATTGAATTCTGCATCCTAGGAGCAGAGGGGCAAGTGAGAGCAGCAGTAGAGAAGGACGGCCTTTCTTCCATTTCCTGGGCTCAGTCTTTTCAGTCCTGTGACACCATAAACCAAGTGCTGTTGACTGCCAGCAATCCCGTTCTGCACCTCCCAGAGTCATTATTATTATGTGTGCATGATATGAGAGGTGGAATACATGCCACATTGCATGAGTGGAAGTCACAGGCCAACTTGGTGGAGTCAGTTCTCTCCTTCCACCTTTATGTGGCTTCTAGGGGGAGGGGTGCCTAACTCGGGTTATCAAGCTTGTGCTGCAAGTATTTTACCCACTAAGCCATTTTGCTGGCCCAAGTGTTTGCATTTTTTAGGCAGAGGGTTAGCACCCCCATCTATCTTAAACTGGCAGCTACTCTAGTATGGAAACAAAGACGGAGTGTTTTATAGCAAGCATTGCTGAAGGAAAAGTGTTATTTTAGTAATCCCCAGTACCTAGGATGGTCCTGCTAGAAAGAAGATCATCCAGAGGCCAGCTCCATGGGACAGCCATGCTGGTAGCCTGTGGTTTGGCCAGGCAGCACCCAAATAAGAGCCTGTGTGTGCCAGAGATGGAGCCCAGGAAACTAAGACCTTGATAGAGGATTACCGCTGCTACATATCACTCGAGCATCTGGTTCATTTTCTGTCTGAAAGATTCACACAAAATTGCAAATAATTGTATATAACAACCATTACCCATGTGCCTTCCCCATTACCAATTTTTTAGATTATAAATGTAACTCATGACCATTGTAAAAGATTCCCTTCAATCACCTTGGAGCATTTTTACACATCTTTCTTTTCATAGATATTTATTTCTAGACTAGCATCTCTCACTATGTCCCCTAGGGGCATCTGACAGTGTATGGAGACCTCTGTGGCTGGCACAGTGTGAGAAGTGCTAGCCTTGGTGAGTAGAACCAAGGATGCTGCAAACAGTCCCACAACCCAGAAGGGTCTGGTGCTGAGCGAGGGAGGCCCAGCTCTCTCTCCTGCCTCTGGGCATTGTCGCGTTCTTGTGAATGTAGAGGCAGGGTATAACAGGACTGATACATTGATGTGCTTGCAAAATTGTAAAAGCACTCTAAAAACAAGCTAAAATTCTATAAACAAAGATAGAGGTGATCATGCACAATTCTAAACATACTCTTGTAAAAACAGTTTGAAAACCAAGTACCTACAATCCCAACTCTGGGAGCTGGAGGCAGGATGATTAGAAGTTCAAGGTCTAGTGGGGCATTGTGGCACACACCTTTAGTCCTAGCACTTGGGAGGCAGAGACAGGCAGATTACGGATCTCTATGAGTTCAAGACCAGCCTGGTCTACATAGTGAATTCTAGGCCAGCTGGGACTACAGGGAGACCCCCTGTCTCAAAAAGACCAAAAAAAAAAGATCATATTTTAATATCTCTATGGACCATCTCTCTGAGGCCACTGGGAGCACCTCCAGGCAAGTCATGTGGAGGACTACATTACTGCCACAAGGGCTCCGACTTTGCCTAGAAAATGTTCCCAGTGCAGAGCCATACATGGCTTCCTGCTGGGAAAGAAATATCCCAAGGTGGTTGCAACCTGTGTGTGTGTCTGTGTGTGTGTGTGTGTGTGTATGTATGTGTGTGTGTGTGTACATGCACACACCAGCTCAATGGAACATGCACACACATATTGTGTGTGCAGTGTGCTACATACTATAGCACATATGTGCATGGATATGTATGTATGTTTATGATGTACATGTGTAATGATATATGTATATGATATGGTATGTATGCACCTGCATGTTTGTATGTCTTTGGGGTATGTGGTATGGTATGAGTACATTCACGTATTGTTCTGTGTTAATGTGTACTGTGGTATGTACATGTATATGTGCATACTTGTGGACTACAGTGTCTGATATACTGTGGTGTGTCATGGTGTGTGTATGTGTAATGTATGGGTCATAATGTTTGTATATGATTATATGCTTATCTGTAGTATATGGTATGGTGTGTAAAGTACATGTGTTGTGGCATGTTTATATGGTGTGATATATATTTATATGTGCTGTGGTATAAACACACATACATGTGTATTTTGTGATATGATATATATACCTCTGAATACTATATTTGTGTTGTGTGCACATGTATGTAAATTTTTGTGGTGTATATACTTATGTACATCATGTGGGTGATGTGTTATGCAAAGTGTGTACATACTTGTATATATGTGTATACACATGTTGGTATGCATGTGTTGAGTGTTTAATATGTATTTTGGAATTTTCATGTGTGGGTGTGTTTGTAGTATGGGGTATGTGCACACACACATATTAGCGTAGACATGTGCTGATAATATGTTTGGTGTGGTATATATGTACATGTGTGGTAATGTGTTCATGTGGGTTGTTTATACTTGTGACATGTGTGTTTACGTTTGTAGTCTGTGGTATATATGTGCAGATAGATGTGTGCACATGTGTTGGTGGTATGTGACAGTATTGTGAATGTGAGTCTGGCAGTGTCAGCATCTAGGGCAGGGAGGTGATACTGTGGGTCCTGGTTCGGACTCTCCTTACCCTGCACAATCTGGCAGGCCTGGTCCTGGAAGGAAAATGTGCTGGAGTCGGGGACATCAGGACGCTACACAGTGGAGACAGTCAGCACCGAGGAGGGCGTCATCTCCACACTTACCATCAGCAACATCGTACGGGCTGACTTCCAGACCATCTACAACTGTACAGCCTGGAATAGCTTTGGTTCTGACACAGAGATCATCCGGCTCAAGGAGCAAGGTGAGGGCTGCCAGGGTGTCCAGGGAACCAGTGGGGTGCAGGGCAGGTCCAAGGAAAAGGCACAGTGCTCTTCTTACTGCCATTCAGCCTTGCCTAGCTAGCCTGTGTGGCAAGGAGCACTGGCCTCCAGCAAACTGCTCTGAGTGGTGGCCCCTAGGGCTGATAATTCAAGGAAGGGTGACCACAGAGTGAGCTGGGCTCCTGGCAGTGATAAGCACCCAATGGCCTCTGATAGCCCTGATTTCCACACATTCTGCCCTCCCCCATGGGCCCTGTTCTGATGCTCAAGTGCCCTTGCCAGGTTGTGCCTGGACAAGCACAAGGATATACTAACAATGAACATGCTGGGAATCTGGCCCAGTCCCAGTCAGACAGCAGAAGTCCCAAGGAGAAGCCAAAGCTAAAACTGAAGGATACTGCTTGCCTGTTCCTATCCCTACTGTGGGAGTGTGGGAGCTGGGCCCAGACCACTTGCAGCCCCCAAGGACACCTGGGCCACTGTACTCTAGAGGAGACACTAACCAATGCTTGGCAAAGAGGCACAGAGTAGCCAGGTTTGAAAGAAAGGAAGGAAAAAGGAGACTCACCTCACTATGACCCTGTGTGCCCACTGCCCTAGCTCTTGAGATAGATGCTAAGAACTCAGTCTCATGCCGGACATTCTAGTGCATGCCTGTATTCACAGCTACACAGTAGACTGAGGCAGGAGGCTCACTTGAGCCCACAAGTTCAAGACCAGCCTGAGCAACATGGCAAGACCTCATCTCAAAACAAACACCAGAACTCTAGTTCCCTAGCACAAACTACCAAATGGAAAGCCCCTGAAGGATAAGAACTGGTTCAATGAAGTTCACTGGGCATATAGCCAGTAGCATGTTAGGTCCTAAAATGGGCTGTAGATCTTCCCCTTGGCCAGCCAGTGCCCAGCCATGGATGGTGTTCAGTGGATCTGGGCCTCTGGACCAGAAGTTGGAGGCTGAGCAAGTGGTCCCAGCCAGACCCTTCAGGCCTCAGTAGATCATGAGGTGGCCGTGATCACACCTACAGATTAAATATCTCAGTGTCTCCTAACACCTCTTCCTAATAGGTGCTGCTTTGCATAACGCTTTGCATATAATTTACATAATACCATCCACACATCATCCAAACCCCCCTGGCCCCCTGTTGCCTACCCTCTTTGTCTTCCCCTGGTGCCCCTACCCTTGTGCCCTTCTTTAACGGTCCCACCCACTCCCAAGACCCCTCCCCTACCCAAGCTTGACTTCTCTTTCTGTCCCCACACTTTTGGGAGGGCCAAGTCAGACTGAATGAACTCCAAGTTCAGTTGGGGGAGCCTGGATCTGTGGGGTGGTCCCAGAGACATGATGGAGAAGGGAACCCCTCCCATAGCCCCTTCAGGTGACCAGTCCCCTGTCCCGTCCCACCCTGGCCAGCCAGGCCCTGGCTGTGGACGCTTGCTTTATTTCCAAACAGGTTCGGAAATGAAGTCGGGAGCCGGGCTGGAAGCAGGTACGGAAGGAGCCGATGAGAAATGCCCGGGTTGGGGGAGGGGCTTTGGCTAGAAGGGGAGGGGACCCAAAAGGGGGCAGGGAGGCTGCTAAGTTCTCTGTCCTCCGTGTCAAAGGCTTAGTGCAGTCAGAGCAATGGGAGAGGGGCTCCTAGCAGCTGGCACCCAGGGACCTCAGATACCTGCCTGATGTCATAGCCCAGGGCTCCTTCCTCCCCAGGACACTGCTCTTGTTCTCCCACCCCTTCCACCCTTGGTCCTCAGATGCCCTGGCTCCTGTCCCAGTCCTGGCCTCCCTCTACTTTTCAGGCCCTCCCCATGTCTGCTCCTCAACACCATCACCAGCTCAACATTCCTCCCCAGGGGCCTGTGGCCTATTCCATCCATGCTTGCTGGCTCACCACCTTCTCAGCTACCCTGTGTCCTCCCATGGAAGCATCATCTCATCGCCAAGCTGAAACTACTAGGCACTGCCCCTCCAGGATACCCATAGGCTCCATGGGTTGATTTACTCCATCTAGGCAACTGTGCCCTCCCTACTGCCAGGCAGAAAACCAGACTCCACAGGCTTGACCAAGGACTTGAGGGTCCTCTGCCTCAGTCCTCTGCCACATTGGTGCCTGACCTATGTCTTCCTCTTTATTGAGCTCCATGTGGGGTCCATCTCCCTCCCACTAGATACACATGCCCTTCTCAGAGGACTAATCTAGGGCACAATCGGCTCACTCAAAGGCAGTCTGTGGCTATCTGCCACCTACACATCTTCTGGCTCTCTAGAAATCCAGGTACTGCGGGGTTCTGGCTCCCTTCAGTCTGCATTTCACACTCTTTCATCCCTTGCTGACTGAGACTCCTCATACCTGTCCCCTTTCTTGATGGAAAGGAGGCAAAACAAAGCAGCTCTCCCCAGTCCCTCAGGGAACATCCTAGGAATGTTCTGTTCACAAAGGGGCAACCTGCACAGGTGACCTAGGCCAGACCTTGAGAAGCCAGGAAAGGAGGCACGCTGGGACCTGGTAGGGGATGCTACCTGGAGGCCACAAGTGCTACCTGCCTTCATAAGTCCCTTCTCCTCTGTCACTGCCCAGCTCCTTAGGATGTTCTGCAACAAGATGCCCCTAGCCCACCCTACAGCTGTTAACAGCTCAAGGAAATGTGGACTTGCAGGACATACTTTTTTTTTTTTAATGTGTATGCATGTATTGTAAGTGCACCCATGTTGTGCAATGCCTGAGGAGGTCAGAAGAGGCTGTCAGATCCTCTGGGACTGGAGTTATGGACAGTTGTTAGCTGCCATGTGGGTGCTGGGATTCGAACCCAGGTGTTCTGCAAGAACGACCAGTGTTAACTGCTGAGCCATCTCTCCAGCCCCCAAAAGGGACTTTTATGCTGCCACCTTAACTCTGGGTCACAGATCCAAAGTTGAGGCCTGAGGGTGTTAAGAAAATATCATGCCTTGGCTCTAAGATGAGATGAATCACCCCCAAGTTTTCCCTAGAACATTTACTAGGAATCCCAAGAGCAACTAACAATGAAATTAAAACCACAGACCCAATGAACTTCAGAACAGTTTTTCTTTCCAAGTGGAATTTAACCAGAAGCATCTTTTGTCAAAGTCAAGTCTCTGCTAAAGTCACATCCCTTTTCTCAGTCCAGATCTCTGAGCCCACTCCCCACACTTCCTGTTTTCAGTCTGTGGGGTTTGCCATTCCTACCCCTCTCTTGGTCACCTCCTGTCACCTCTGCAATGATCTTTGCTGCCAATAGATTGGTAACAAGAGTTAGTTAGTATGCAAATCCTGGGGTGATGAAACACCTGCTTTCTCTGATGGGCATCCCCAGTCCTCCTACCTGCAACTTAGAGACCAGAGTTTCAGTATTTCTGTAGCTCTTTAAAGGAAACAAGGGGTCAGCATGGTAGAATGCTTACTTAGTATGCATGAAGCCCTGGGTTTCATTCCCAGAATGACAAAAGAAAAAAAGAAAAGAATGATACTTTAACCACAGCCCCAGAACAAACACCTAGCTGTTCGCAGGTCATGGAAGCTGCAGTTGATGAATGTTGATGAATGTGGGTGGGGTGGGAACTTAGGCTTTGGGGACTTTCCTCTTCTTTAATGTTTCTGTCTGCCACAGTCCTGCCTCCACACAAAGTAACAGGAACAAACCCTTGAATAGGATGGGCACCTGGCTCTGTTCTAAGACCTTTCCCACTTTCCTTTACCTAAAATAATAGCATTATTATTACCCCATTTTACAGATAAAAAATGTAGAGTAAGTTGCTTGGAAGAAGTGACAGAGCCAGGGACTCACTTAGCCACAATCTGAGCCATACAGAGCATGTGACATTTGGAGGGTGCCATGTGGTAGAGAAGACAGAGTAAGATGAGATCAGGGGTTCTCTGGGGTTCCCACACAATAGCAGCTACGTGTCCTTGAGCAAGTCACGACTTCTCTGGATCTTAGTGTCTCTGTCAAATGGGAGACTTGGGTTCAGTGAGTCCCAAGTCACCTTGGCCCAGTATTCTCTAGTCCTATTCTCCATGGACTACTCAGGGCCTAAAATCATGTGCTAAAAGCAAGCAACTCCCCTCCCCAGCAACATTACCCACCATTCCTGTGTATTTGGTAAAGGCCAGAGACAGACTAGGGAAAGAACATAACCTGTTGGGCAGGGACAGGTGCTGGATGCTAGAGGGTTGACCTCACAGGTGAAAGAGTTGGGCATGGCTGTCAGGGAAAGAGGAAAGGCTGTTCTCCTTAGCAATATGGTAGCACTGAAGCTGTGATCATGCTCCCCTGGTCCCTGAAACAAGGACATGTACGGATTATAAGCCCTGATTCCCAGCAGGCCCGAAGGGAAGTTGTCTCAGAACTGAAAACCCTAAGAGCCGGTTGATTATATGTATCCTCCACACACCAGGCAAAGAGGTATGAAAGAAGGAAGGAAGGAATTGGATAAACAAGGGCAGAGACGATCACCATTTTTCAAAGGAAAGCCAGGACTTATGACTCACCAGCCACTGCATGCGTGCTAGATCTCTTCCTTAATGTGAAGACAGCTAAATTATGCTAGCCTTGCCCCACATCTGCAGTGTCCCTCCTCCCTGACCCTCCACTGTTCCAGCATCTACCCCTTCCTCTGACTCCTCCCTGCCCTCCTCCTACCCTATGTCCTCCACCCAGTCTCTACATTCCTGGCCATAACTGACCCCTATTGGACTCTGTCTTTGGCCACCAGGCCCTACCAAGGCATTCCCAAGAGGGGCCCACGTGGCAGTGGTGTGGCCCCAGCTTGGCAGGGGCAGTACCTAGGGGACTGGATGGGGTCCTAGCAGAACAGTAGGATTCCCCTATCCCTCATCATCCCCATCTGTTTCTCTCCCACAGAGTCTGTGCCAATGGCCGTCATCATTGGGGTGGCCGTAGGAGCTGGTGTGGCCTTCCTCGTCCTAATGGCAACCATTGTGGCCTTCTGCTGTGCCCGTTCCCAGAGAAGTACGGGAGGGAGACCCGGGATCTCAGGGAGGGGGACAGAGAAAAAAACCAGGCTTAGACTGCCCCGGAGAGCAAGTAAGCAGGCATACAAGCAGGGGCCCTAACAGTACTGTGAGCTCCTGGGACAGGGATGGGTCTGATGTATTGTTATGCACCTTGAGAGTGTCTGGCACCAAGTGGGCACTCCACTGAGGCTGAACTGAACTAGACTGACCTTGATCTGGCAGGGCAGGCCACTAGCACTTTGGGTTGGATACACAGCACTCTTATTTGGTGTGTATAGAAACTAGGGGGAAAAGAGGTGGTTTGACCTTCCTTGCTATGCACAGGCAGCCAGTTTAACCTGAAAAGCAGGTCACCCACACAAAAGCATGAGGATTTTCCCTGAGCAGACTAAAGGTTTTCAGTCGACTATTAGCAATATAATTCTAGTGCTGGTGCATGCTTGAAGAATTCCACACACTCAGGGCCTCCATGCTGAGCTCAGCTCTACATGTGATTGACAAGTGTAAGGTAGAATGGCAGAGTTGAGGCAAAGACAGAAGAGGTACAATTTTCTACCATGTGACCGTGGGCAACTGACATCTATATCAGGCCTCAGTTTCCTCCTTTGTGATATTAAAGTATTGGATAACATGACATTTTAAAAAATATTTTATTGAGTTTTTTTACGTTTTATACAAGTTCTTAATCAAATTTAGACCCCTTCGCCCATCCATGCCCCTCCCACACACACCCCCTACTGGACCTCATGCATTCCACCGTACATGTTAAGTCCTATCTGGTCAAGCATTTGTATCCAGATGTCTTTCAGTGCAAGTTCTAGATGACATGACTTTTATGACTCCAACCAGCTCTAAGCTTTTAGAATCAGAATGTGCTAAGTGATTTATTAGACCAAGTTAGCTCCCATGACCACCTGGCAGTGTTCACATGTAAGAAGGAAGCTACTGGTTTCCCTCACATTTTCTCCCTTCCCAGCTAAGCAGCCTTTCCATCTTGTGACTATCCCAGCAAGATGGTTTCATAACCTCCCTCATTGCCTCTCAGTAGAAATGATAAGGGAACATATTTTAGCAAGATTTGTCTAACAGGCTGCTCCTATAGTTCAGGGAAGCTAGAACCTGTGTGCTCAGGGATAGGGGGAAGGTTGGCTCTGAGACCTTGAGCTACTTGCCACTGCTAAAATTTGTGGTTCTGTCAATATGAGAGCTCAGAGCCTGGTAGATGGTAGACGACAGAGATTTCTAGAAGGAAGTAGGGACTCAGGATGAAAGGGCCTGACTCAGCGGGGTGGAGGGACGGATGAGGATGCCCTCTCCAGACATAGGAGGTCTGAAGTGCCTGCCTGCAACAAGGAACTGGGCAGCCACGGGGCCAGCCTTTGAGCACCACCCAGTTCACAGTAGATCTCTATGGATGGGGGCTGGCAAAGCTGCTGAGTTTAGGGGCTGAGGGGAGGGTAAGCCCTGGGGTGTGGTGGGGCAGGGGTGGCATCAGGGGGCTGTGGGGTAGTTGACATCTCATGCCTGAGGACGAGGACTGAATTTGTTGCCAACACTTTCCTATCTTATATCCAGATCTGAAAGGTGTTGTGTCAGCCAAGAATGATATCCGAGTGGAGATTGTGCACAAGGAGCCTGCTTCTGGCAGGGAGACTGAAGAGCACACCACCATCAAGCAGCTGATGGTAAGAACACTGTCCATGCCCTGCCCCATCCTGAGACTAAAGACTTCTTGATGCCCTCCACACTACTGACAGGCAGGGCATAGGGGCAAAACTCTTCTGTTCCTTCAGTGAATGAGGCACACAGTCAGCCAATGAGCATTTATGATACAGTTCTCACCCTGGAAGCCTGACCATTGAGTAGGAAGAAAACACGCTTAAATTTCCATGTGTGGCTACGTGCCTCTTACACACACACACACACACACACACACACACACACACACAAAGAAATATTATAGATATTCAATGCATTCCTCTCCTCTTCCCCCTTCACAAAAAAAGTCTGCAAGAAGCATAGGTTCCTCCTTGGGAACTGGATGTCCTCCAGAAGCAAACGCAAAACTTCTCCAGCAACACCAAGCCTGCACTTCCTCTTCCTGATCCTCCCTTCATGGACCAGAATCCAACCAGCTGTCCAGGCAGAAGCCTAGACAACTATGCCAGAAGCTCCCAGAGAACAATGTCATGGTGGTAATATGTGGGACCAGCGACAGGAGAGCAAGGAATACGGACATGGGCTCTTCTGAGCCTCAGTGACAACATCTATGAAATGGATATGAAATCAGTAGTATACAGGGCCACTATCAGGGCTACAGGGGATACCCCTGAGGAGCTTGGAGCACATGGGGTACAGTACAATGGTCCCTTGACATCTGTAAGGAGTTTGGCTCCAGGATCCCCAGATAATACCAAAATTCAAGGATGCACAAGTCTCTTGTATAAAATGGTATAACATTTGCATGGGACCTACACACATCCTCTTGTTTATTTAAATCATTCCTAGATATTTATAATCCCTAATACAATGGAAATACTATGTAAATAGGTTGGGCATAGTGACACTTGCCTCTAGTCCCAGCACTTGGGAGGAAGAGACAGGTGGAGCTCTGTGAGTTGAAGGCCAGCTTGGTCTACATAGAGAGTTCCAGGCCAGCTGAGGCTACAGGGAGACCCTGTCTCAAAAAGACATATATAATGCAAATGATTATTGCACTGTATTGATCAAAGATCAATGATTAAGTAAAATATGACTGTATATATTTGGTGCAGACACAATTATTTTCCCTACCTATTTTTGATCTGTGGTTGGCTGAAGCCACTGTGCAGAATATGAGGAAACAGAGGGTCACCTGTGATCGCTCAGAAACTATTTGTGTTGCTCTAAAAGCACCCACTAGATGGTGAGCAACTGCTGCCTTATTCATCCCTGTGGAGCCTCACAAATGTTTGCTGAATGGAACTCACTCTTCTCTGCTATACTTTGTCAGGACCTGTCAATTCCACTTCAAAAAATGGCTTAAACAAAGCTGGGCATTGTGGTGCACACCTTTAATTCCAGCTCTTGGGAGGCAGAGGCAGGCATAGCTCTGTGAGTTCGAGGCCAGCTACATAGCAAGTTCCAAGGCAACTGGGTCCACAGGGAGACCCTGTCTCAAAAAAAAAGCAAGCGCGCGCACACACACACACACACACCTCAAACGTATGCCCGGCCTCTCCTCCACTGTCTCTTGGGCCTTGCCATTGCACCCCTGGACATTGCAGCAACCCCTTAATTGAACTCAACATTGATCACTTTTCTCAATTCGCCCTCCTTGACCCTGCAAAAACTGTCCTTCTGAAACACAAATCAGCACTCAGGAGACAGAGGCAATAGGATCTCTATGAGTTTGAGGACAGTGTAGACTAATTGATGAGACCTTGTCTCAAAATAAATAAAATGTAAATCTGGTCCTGAGACTATTCCTCTGAAGTCCTTCAGTGGCTCAAATATCTGCTGGATGAAGTCCAGGTGCACTAGCACCTCATCAGGGCCTGTGCTGCAAGCCAGCTGACAGTCTTTTAAGTTACATTTTCTGGCCATCTGGCTTTCCAGACACACCAAGAGTTGGTGATTCCCGGCCTCAGAGTCCTTTATACCTCGAAGGCCTTCATCCCCTTTGCCTGTTGGTTTGTTCGCTGAATTTCGTACCCTGCAGTAAGAACTGCTCAAATGTCACCAGTTCTAAGACTTTCCCTGCCTGCTTCCTCCGCACACACTGGTAAGCTGTGTGATGCCTGCTCTCCCCAACACTGTGCATGAGCCTCCTTGATGGCACATTGCTCAATGACGAGGAGTTCTGAGCTGCCCCAGATCTTCTCAAGGGCAAAGGTCATTTTCCTAACTCTAGATCTTGTATTTTTCCTGGGACCTCCCTAACATAGTACCTGACACAAGAGCGTGTTTAACTTTACAAGGGAGGGAGGAAAACTACAGCCCAGGCCTGAGAAGGAATGATCCCATTCAAGTTCATCTTTCATCCCTAATGGGCCCTTGAGTTCCCTCCCAAGGAGACATCCCTTTGGCCTCAGACAAAGCCATGCTCCCAGGAAGGGGGCAGGTGTCCCTGAGTGATCTGGGCTGAGCAGAGGGGCTAATTTGGCAGAAGGGACTTGCCAAGGGCTCTATAGCTAGCCTTCCCCTTGGCGAGATCTTCAGTATCCACCAGGGAGATCTGACAACCTGTAAGCTGGGAAATGCCCCATCATTAAGGGGAGATAGGCTTGGAAGTTGAATCTGGTGGAAAAGAACAACAATCTAGATGGAGCCAGAACACTTACTGGAAAATGAAAAAAAAATTAAAAGCAATCAGTCCTATTACTGAGGGAGTAGCAGGATGAAAGCACTTTGGCTGGCTGTGAGGCTCCAGGACTGAAATGCAAGAAACATCCTGTGCAAAGAGTAGGTGGGAGCCTGAGGGAGAAAGTGCAAGTACAGCAGTGATGCAAGGGAGGCATTTTGTGTGGCTTCTCCGTGGTTACCCAGGTTACTTTATACACTCAGTGCGTGCTATGGAAGCTTGGTTCCGATCTTACACTTGATCATTACTCTCGGTGATTTCAACCCTGCCACTCATTCATTCATTCCAAATAAACATAACACATATCAAGCACTGTACTAGGCCCTGGCAAATCAGATAATTAATAGATCCCATTCCAAAAGCATTTTGGTCAGTGGCCACAACATGCAAGGCCCCTGGACCAGGTGTGGTGGGGACTGTTTGGCATCTGTTAAGGAAGAAATTTTTCTGATCTACACGCGCGCGCGCACGCACACACACACACACACACACACACAATATCATACCTACACATGTAATTAATTTTAAAAAAATAAAATAATGAAAAGAGGAAAGGTTTTTTTGACTCATGGTTTCTGAATTTTCCGTCCATGGTCACTTGGCCCTGTTGCCTTCAGACCTGTGTGAAGGCAGAACATCACAGCAGAGGCATGTGGCAGAGAAGCCTGTTTATATTTGCTGTCCATGAAGCGTCCAGGAAGCAAAAAGAAGAGAGAAGATGGGGATGGAGAGGTGGCTCAGTAGTTAAGAGCGCTTGCTGCTCTACCAGAGAACCCAAGTTTGGTTCACAGCACCCGTATCAGACAGCTCACAACTGTCTGTAACTACAGCTCTGTGAGATCCAGCATCCTCTTCTGGTCTCTGCAGGTGCCTGCACACACACACTCATATGTTCACAAAGACCCAGACACACACATAAATAAAATAAAAATAAATCTTTTTAAAAGGGGCGAAGAGGGGCCAGGTGTGGTGGCCCATGCCTTTAGTCCCAGTACTTGGGAGGCAGAGGCAGGCAGATCTCTGAGTTCAAGGTCAGCCTGGTCTACATAGGGAATTCCAGGACAACTGGTGCTATAGGGAGACCCTGTCTCAAAAAGATTGAAAAAAAGAGGGGCTAGAGAGTTGGCTCAGCAGTTAAGAGCATAGATTGCTCTTACAGAGGACTCAGGTTCGATTCCCAGCACCCACATGGCAACAAACAACCATCCATAACTCCAGGAATTCCACGGATCTGATGCCTTCTTCTGACCTCTGAGGGCATTGTACAACAACATGGGCACACACATACACACACACACAAAATAAAAATAATAAAATATTTTTTAAAAAGGAGAGGAGCTAGGGTCCCAATGACCTCTTCAAGGGCACACCTCAAGTGACCTCACTTCCTTCTACAAGGCACTACCTCCGAAAGATTCCACCAACTTCTAATAGCTGCACAGGCTAGGGACCAAGCCTTGAACACATGGCCTTTGAGGTATATTTCAGATCCAACCCATAACACCCCTGTTGTCAGCATCTCATTTGTGATTCCTTCTCAGTCCTGGTCATAGCTGACAGACTACCCTAAAGAGCCTGACCATGCCCAGTGGTGGATGTTCTGTGATCATTTATCTCAGGTCCATCTCCCTGGTGAGTAGAGCTGTATCTTAATGTATTTTAATCTGTGTATACAGGGCCCTTAACATAATGTCTGGTCAGATTTTTTTCAACAAATACTCAAGTGAGAAATCTGGAGAAAATATCCTTACCCAACAGAAGAAAACGGCCCGACAGTCACACCCAGTGCTTCACCCACCCTCCCCTCATCTCTGTCTCGGGATGAGGGCTCCAGGGACACTGCTGAGATCTAGAATCTTGTCCTAACTCTTTCACCTGCCTTCTGCAGTCCAGGCAGTGCAGGGGACACATATGGCAATCTCTTGAGTTCATTTCCTCATCTCCTTGGAAGAGGTGGAATTGATCACACCTTCTATCCACTGAGTAGCCATTTCTGAATTGTAGATGGACCGGGGTGAATTCCAACAAGACTCAGTACTGAAGCAGCTGGAAGTCCTCAAAGAAGAGGAGAAGGAGTTTCAGAATCTGAAGGTAGGAGTAACCACAGATTATTGGACACATCCAATGGGTCTGGACTATAGCTGTGATAGCCCTAGCTCCTGTCCATACTAAGAACTACAGCAAGCAGAAGGGAAGGGTTCAAGCCTAGTCTGGGGACTGGTGCCTGGTCACTGTCTAAGGGGACATCTCTCTATCAAGAATACCTGCTCTTGGGCTGGAGAGATGGCACAGCGGTTAAGAACACTGGTTGTTCTTGCAGAAGACCCAGGTTCGAAGCCCAGCACCCACATGGCAACTAACAACTGTCTGTAACTCCAGTCCCAGGGGATCTGACAGCCTCTTCTGACCTCCTCAGGCATTACATGACATGGGTGTACTTACCTACATGCAGGCAATACACTCATACACATAAAATTTAAAAAAAAATAGATTTTTTAAAAATTAAAAAAAAAGAGTACCTGCTCTCTTAACCCCAACACTGAGAAACTGAATTAAGGCTGAGTTCATACAGTTCTCTTCCACAGCAGCCATGTAACAGATAGATTTTAAAAATCATCATTCATGTTCTAAACAGACACACAAAAACAAAGACTGCTTTTCAAAAGAGTACTGCCCAAACCAGGTCAGGAGCACTTCAACCTTCCCCACTAGCAGTTGGGCACCTGCCAGCCTCTCCTGGTGTCCCTGCCACACTAACCCTTCCTGTAACCTGTTCAATATCCTTCCTCCCCTACTTGTTCCCTCCCTTCCTAAGACTGCCCAGCCCAGCCCCTGCCACATCCAGTTGAAAGCTTCCTGGTGATGTGCCTCTCATTTTTGCCTACCCAGGACCCCACCAATGGATACTACAGTGTCAACACCTTCAAAGAGCACCACTCCACCCCAACCATCTCTTTGTCTAGCTGCCAGCCAGACCTTCGTCCTACAGGCAAGCAGCGTGTGCCCACAGGCATGTCCTTCACCAATATCTACAGTACCCTGAGCGGCCAGGGCCGCCTCTACGACTACGGGCAGAGGTTCGTGTTGGGCATGGGCAGCTCATCCATCGAGCTTTGTGAACGAGAATTCCAGAGGGGCTCCCTCAGCGACAGCAGTTCCTTCCTGGACACACAGTGTGACAGCAGCGTCAGCAGCAGCGGCAAGCAGGATGGCTACGTGCAGTTTGACAAGGCCAGCAAGGCCTCTGCCTCTTCTTCCCATCATTCCCAGTCCTCTTCCCAGAACTCCGACCCCAGTCGACCCCTGCAGCGGAGGATGCAGACTCATGTCTGAGGATCACACACTGTGGTGGGGATGGGCCAGGGAGGAGTGCAGGGGACATTCTCATTCTCCAAGGACTGGGGCTACTTTGCAGAGGACCCTAGAATTGGCCACCTACAGGACAGTCTCCGAGCATCTCAGTTACCACCTTCCTTCGAAACTCTGATCAAGCACAAACCTGGTCCCAAGGTGGGAAATGGAGAGGATGCAGCTGAGTGTACCATGCTCGGGGATGAACATCCTTGTCTCCAGCCCTTTCCTAGAGGTCCCTCAACCACCTGCTCCTCCCACAGGCACCAGTGGCAGCTATAACTTTCCTTTCATGAAACTGCCATTCACTCTCCCGTCTCCCCCTACTGTCCATAAGCCATCCCCGTGTCTGTGCTCCTTACAGCCCTGGGGAAAGGGGGAAGACTTTTTCCCAGCACTGAGCTGCTCCAGAGACCCCAGCTTCCCCACTGTGCATAATTCATGCCTTGGAGGCTGAAGACCTTGAAATGGCCCTGACCAAAGGAGCACCTGCGGGAGCCACCCCAATTTGTTTGGTGTTTTGTGTCCATATTCTTGCAGTTCTGTTTTTGGAGTTGATGCCTCTGAACTTGGAGGTGGGAACTGGCCCATCAAAGCCTGGTGTCCTCAGGGCTGAGGAAGGGGAGAAGGGAGAGTATGAAGGACTGGGGATCACCTTGTCCAACACACCCTGTGCCTGGCTGTGCAATTCAGAGCCCTTGCCCTTGTCCCCTGCTTTGTGTACTCCCTCGTCCCCACAGCACAATCGAGCTAATATAAGGTGTGAGAACTTCTCTGGTCAGGGTTTGATGAGTAGTCATTGCAGCTTTGCTGAGGGGTATGGATTTGAGGGAACTGGGGGGACAGACAGGCTAGAGGATGAGATGGGCCTTCTCAGCTGATGAACACAAGGAGCAATTATCCTTTCTCTAGTAGTAGACTGGACTCTGTGTGCAAGAGGGAAAGTTTTTCTGCACCTCCCCTGCCATCACTCCCCACCTGAGAATAAACGTTAGGACCATTACCCTCAACAAGCCCATTCTATTCTTTTGTTCCTGCAGAACCACAGGAAGACCCCAAGAGTCCGAGTATGTTGTGGGAACCCAGGGTTCTTTTCCGTTCTTTACTTCAGTTTTTCCCAGGCAGGGAAGGCCATTGATGGGGCTGGTTATAGTGGTAATAGAACTTACAGGTCAACTATAGGTCAGCTTTCTCTGACTCCAGCCAGAAAGCAAGCCTCATCAACCCCAACTCTGGCTAAATACAGGTGAAGCAATACAGTTCTATAGACACTGACCAGATCCTTCTAGCCTTTTCTTTCAGCAGTATTCTACAGAGGTTCCCTCCACTTCAGGTACTAGAAGGAGGCCTCTAAAAGACTACAGACTAACAACATCCTAACACTCAAGTATGGGACTCAAAAAAACATTCTGAGTGAATTTACCTGGGTGAGAAGCTAGATGTCAGATAGAATGGATAAATAAGACGATAGGTGCTAGCACAGGGGGTGGGGTTCAAATGGAATTTCAAAGAACCCTAAGTGTCCCTAAGGCTTGAAAGTCCTCAACTTTAGACCCATCTTCCCAAGCCTTTCTCATGGTCCTCACCCATTGTGGGAGCCATCATCACATACTGGATCCTTGGGTGGTCCTAACCCCAGATCTAATGCCTAGCTTTCATAGCTACTCCACTTGGAGTAACTTCTGCTTCAGTCATGTTTCCTAGTGCTTCAAAAATCCCTTAGTTCCCTTGATATCTTTCTCTGTAGCCCACAAGCCATAAGATTAGAAAGCCATCAAAAATAAAAATATACGCCACAACCCCACATCCTATTCCTTGTACCATTCCAGCCCGGCATAGATCCCAGGATTGTTGACCTTTGCCATGTCTACGTTCATCTCAACAAGCTTTTCCTCTTCTCGTGTATGTTTGCCCTTTACCAGCGTGAAACAAGGACCCATGACCATATGCAAACTGTCCTGGTGTGCTAGAATAAGGAAGCAACAACTTAAGAGGATTTGCTCATTAATTTCTCCTGGTCTCCCCACCCCTTGGACAACGGGGGACAATCTACTTCCTACTTTGTCCTTGCCCTTACCATAAACACACAAAACTAATAGGGTAGAAGTATCTATTGTTTCCCGGAACCAGGAAATACAACAGAGTAACCAGAACAGAAAAGAAGAGCTGTCCCATGGAACAGAATGAGCTGGTCACCCTCCAGGTCGTTGGCACTCCCAGAATAAGAATGTGGACAACCATGGAGGATGGAGAGGGAGTACTAGGGTGATCATAATCAGATGAGGCTGATTCCCAGCCCTCCCCCACACAAACACAGCAAAGTTGCAAAAGAAACAGGAGGTCACAAGTACAGTCTATGTGAGAGAGTACATTATGGAGAGAAAAATTTAGGGTGAACTAAGCAATAGTCTGTGGGGGAAGTTCCTTCTACTTCATGTTTAGGGGGGCTCAGGAACATTGAAGAACCCAGACATGTGCACCCCTCAGTTGTCTCCAATCTTGCTGGTTTCTCAGAAATAGTGGATATAAAGAAAAGCTGGTAAAGGGAAGTAAATGGGAGGCAGAGGCAGTTGGAAGCCCTGAATTCCCCTGTGGTTGTTCTCCTGTGTAACAAAGTGAGTGCTGTACTCGTTGAATGGAATTTGAATTCTCATAACTTGGTAAAGCATCCTCATGCTTTACAAATGTAGGAATGAAGCTTAAAGAACCCAAGATCACAGAGCTAAGTAGCAAATATAAGACCAGAACACAAATGATTTCTAGTACATTATGTCCCCAACCCACAGTGCGAGATCAAAGCCACTCTCTCTAGAGTACAGGTAAAAATGGCTAAGAGTAAAGGCCCTGGGCCACTTATGGACAGGCTGGATGAGGACAAGTCATATCCCCATCAAGAAAATAGGGCTTCATCCTCCACCTTAAGTCCCCAAATGACCTGGAGAGACCACAAATCCCCGAGAAACAAAGCTATTCTGTGTATCAGCCCCACCCCAGGCCAGGATCCAGTTTTCTCATAGCTGAAACTTTATTATTGGCTCACAATCCCTGGACAGAAGCCCAGTCTCTAATTCTCAGACTTGCTATCAGTCTGTGAAGGCCGAGGTTATTTCCACCACCTCTTCAATGTCCAGAGACTAGGAAGTACTCTCATGAAGAGCTAAAATGCCACACCAAATCCATTTCTGATGAAGCTGATTGAAACAAGCCATTATAAAGCACAGGCCTGGAAGCCACCTCTGAGTTTCTGGAATGAAAAGGATCCAAGGAAACGGAAACAAACTTGATGCAGTCTTTGAGTGTTTTCTCAGAACAGAGAGGAATTTGACAGGAAATTCATTCCTCACTTCCTGGTTGGGGAGGGAAATATGCTGCTTATGGTATTTGCTATTATGAAGCCGGAAGTGAAACAGAAGGGCTCAAGTCCACCAATTTGATTAGAACTTCCCAGGAATGTGTGATTTGTGGTGGCATTAGAAAAAAAGGTAAAGGGAAGTTCTGCTAATCTTAAGAGTCTTCTTTACAAACTTTCCCTGTAAGACAAACTTTTGCGTTTTTTTTTTTTTTTTCTCAGTGCTGAGGATCAAGCCTAGGGCCTCTATCAAACTAGGAAAGCACTCTACCACTGAGCCACACCCCTGCTCTCAAACTCTTATTAAGCAAATAGATATTTAAATTTAAAAACTTTTAATTGGCATATAGAGTGTTTAAAGTGTCAGTAAGTGTGCTTATTTAAAAAATAAAAAGCATTTAGACATAAACTAAAGACATGGATACCAAATCTGGAATTTTCCTTCCCCCTTTACAAACGTCTTTTGAAAGCATCTTATCTGAGTTGGTTTTAGGAGCTGTAACTGCAGGACTGGCAGCTCTGGCATCAAAACCTGCAGCAATCTGGTAGTCACTGATAAACAGCTCTCTGCTGATAGTTGCTTATCATCTCCACGAAGGCTCCAACTGTCTTTTCAGCAGCCCCCTATGTGTCAGTCCTCTGAGCCAGGCCAGGTCACAAGCAAGGAAAAATGAGAAAATGTCAAGCTACTCTGATTTTTACAAATAAGGATTGTTTTTCTGGATGAGAATATGTTTGCTGTTGGACCATCAACTCCTTCCCTCCATAACTGTTATTTTTCCTTGAGACACCTCCCCTCATGTCTAATGCCAGGTCTTTAACGTACACCAAAAGCTTTCATTGCTATAAGTCCTGTAGTTATTTTTTAATATTTTATTTATTGTTTTTATTTTATGTGTATGAGTGTATTGCCTGCATGTATGTGAGTGTACCCATGTTGTGCAATGCCGTGGAGGTCAGAAGAGGACATCAAATTCCCCTGGAACTGGAGTTAAGGACAGTTCATAGCTGCCATGTGGGTACTGGGAATCGAACCCAGGTCCTCACCAAGAGCAGTCAGTGCTCTTAACCAATGAACCATCTCTCCAGCCCCAGGTCCCTGTAGTTTTTATCTCTACCACAGCTCTCCTCCTTAAAAGGCCTTTTGTGAGGGGATAACTCAGTAGGGAAGTACTTGCCTAGCATATGCAAAGGCCTGGGTTTAATCCCCAGCATGGCAAAATAAGTAGGTAAATAAGTAACCTTCTGTAAACACACATCATTCACAAGATACCACATCCAACCATGGTCTACATCCTTGATTTTATATATACATTATGCACCTTCCACTTCCTGTGCTGGGACTTGAACTCAGGGCTTCACACTTGGCACGGGCTTTCCACTGAGCTATACCCTCAGCCACTCTGGCTGTATTTCCACCTCTGTCTGTATCTGCCCGCCACTCCATGTTCCTAGTATTCGTCTCAGAACAGTCCACTCAGCCATCCATAGGGTGGAAACATCCTCAACCCCTGGTCAAAAGGATCCTTTGAGCTCCCTGACTGGGGAATACCAGACAAATGCAAGCATCTCCTTCCGCTGCTCCTTAACCTTATGACCCTTGGCAATATCTTGGAATGCAGTGAGGACATTCAAGAAATGCTCTTTAGAAATTGTGGGTGGTGTGTGTGTGTGTGTGTGTGTGTGTGGTGAATCTAAAAAATTAACATTCAAAAAATAGAAAGTGAAGTCCAGGAAAGCCAAATCGTCATTGGGAGACTTGGAGTCTTGATTACATAGCAGGTCTGAAATCTATTCCCAATTATGCAAGAGGGAAAAATTCATCCCAAAGAGGAGCTGAATTTAGAAATAGACTCATTCTCCAAGAGTCACAGCCCAATTAGGCAGAGACTATCAAGTGGATGAAGTTAAAGGGACCTCCTTCACCACCTTTGTATGGAAATTTAAGGTCCAGTATTCTGTTGCTTTAAATTGTATTCTTAACACGAATGGGCACTGCACTGTCAAGAAATACCAGAAGAAGGCAAGTATTGATAAAGTGATGCGGGTGAGGACCCATGGCTTCCACAGCAGGATTTTCAGATAACTTAATGTTTCTCTGGCTCTTCCATCATGCAAGGGCTGTATCAATATAGCATAAGTCCATGGAGAAAAGGTGAGTACCGAAGTACAGTTTACCTACCAGACTCCAACTTCTGCTCCTGAGATTTGCTTCCTCAGCAGAGCAGCTCTGCGCTTATTTAGTCAAGAGAAAACCCTCTTTGAACAAGTGTTCAAGTTCATGTTCATGGGATATGTAAATGCATCAGAATAATACATGGCTCTGAAACAGCCTAGTTCAGTAATTCCAACTTTGGTCCCTTGGGGTTGTTTCAACATCTGGGCCTTCTCTCATTCCACCCAGCTCCATCTTCCCCATCCTACAAGGCTCTGGAGAGGAAGACATGTCTCTCTAAGAGGGTGGTATACTTTAAATTGTTAGCCCTCCCTGGGAATCTGCCATGAACAAGAAATTGCACCTGCTTTCCAGAGTTCGAGTTTCCTTAAAACCCTTCTGCCAAACCCTTCTGACTAACTCACTTGACCATGTGGAGTCTCCCAGCTGCTCCTTTCTGCTGTCCCTTTAAGTGAAGGAGCAGAGACTTCGAGGACATCTGGGCTCCTCCCAAATCTGTCATCTACTGAGTCTCAAGTTTTATCCCTCTGCCTTGCTTTTTTCTTTTCTTTCCTTTTTGAGACAGGGTTTTACCTAACCCAGGTTGGCCTCAAACTGGCTATATACCCAAGGATGACCCTGAACTTCTAATCTTCCTGCCTCGACGTCCCAAGTGCTGGTATCACAGGTGTGGGCTGACCCATTCAGTTTACACAGTGCTGAGAATTTAACCCATGGCTCTGTGCATGCTAGGCAAGCACAGTACCAACCAAGTTACACACATCTTCAGTCTTCCACCTTATTTTTTGGGTACAAAAATCCAAAAATTCTAACAAGCCAGGTTCTTTCATTGAGAAAGAACAGGGCAGGAAAAGTAGATGAACTATGGGGGGGTGGTCCTTGGCTTAGGATGGTACTATATCCTGACACACTTCTTATAAATGGAAAATATTGTAAATCAAAAACGCATTTAGGCCAGGATTACACACACCTGTAATCCCAGCACTAGGGAGGCAGAAGGATTGCCAGAGTTCAAGGCCAGCCTGGGCAACATAGGTACTAGGCTAGCCTGGGATATACGGCAAGGCCCTGCTTGAAGAAGAAAAAGAATGCATATTATACACCTAGCCACGAAACACAGCCCATAGTAGAGCACTGTGGTTTCCCCCCATGATGACATGTGTGCTGTGGGTCACTGCTTCTGCCCAGCATCATGGGAATGCTGTGCATCACTACATCCTACTGACTGTATCTTACATTTTACAGAGGAATCATCCTTAGTTGGGGATCATCTGCATACACTCCAAACTTTTAAGTTGGAAGCAAGACCTGGTTTCCTAGAAGCATTGCCTAGTCTGTACCAAGGGTATTTTCATTTTCAAACTACCAAGTAGTTTTCTGCAACTATCATTAAGATTTCAAGATCCGGAGGCTTAGAGAAGAGCATTATCAGCTCTGAAGTTGTTTCCCAACCTGTGTTTAGGAACCCACAGTGATTGCACACGCCACTGAAATAATGGCATTGCCTACCAAACTTTTTTCCAAGAATCCCTAGAGGTGTCAAACTTTAATTTGAAAACTACTGCAGTTTTAACTCACAGTTCACTGATTATGCAAAACCTTCTTTTCAGTCGTTCCCTCTCATGGTCTTCTACCTTGTCTGTGTCCTTTCAAGACGGACTTTTCTGCACCAAGCCGGCTAACTCAGTTCCTGGGCAAGTATTTGGCCTTCCAAATGTAGCTCATCTATTCCACCCACTCTCTAGCATTTTCCATCATGCAAGGCAGTTTTCCAACCCCGTTATTTATAACACTCTTTACAGGCTACACAATGTTTTACAACCATATTCCCATTACATCCTTAGGATCTCATTGTGAGACAGGCATGCATAATCGGTATTTTCCAGATGGAGCAGAGGTTTCTTCCGCTAATTAAATGGCAGAGCAGGGAGCGGCCGCGTTGTGTGCGCACTACACTTTACAGTCTCCCAGACAGTACTGTTTCAAGTTCAAACTTTTTGCAGACTAGACAGTCTCGGGAGGAAAGCAATTGAATGTATACTTATGTCCTTGGAAAGTGTAAATAAAACCTGAAAGGGGGTAGGTGGGCTGGAGAGATGAGTCAGTAGTTAAGAGCACATACTGCTCTTACAGAGGACACACCTCGAAAGGACCCACCCTTCCCAGCACCCACCTCGAAAAGCTTACAACCGCCTGATAGCTCCGGCTCCAAGGGGATTCACACCTCTGGCTTCAAGTGCACATACCCATACACAGGCACATAATTTTAAAAATCTTTTTTTTTAACCTGGGTGTCCAAAATTAAGACATCATTTAAATGTGTTCCCGTGCTGGATGAGACTTTAACTCTTGCACCGCCTAGGACTGTGGTACCAAGTTGATAGTGCCTCCCATTCCTTCTTGGGCCTGTTTCCCTCTGTGGAACGCCAGGCTTATAGAATCTAAAGCAGATGGGGCAGGTCTCTTCGGCTCCCCGGCTGTTTCTTGAGCACGGAGCACACCTAGAAGCTGCAAGCTCAGCCACGCCAGGCAGCCTCAGGGCTGAGCGCAGTCGCCTGCTCCTACCTCCCGGAAACCCTGCGTCTCACGGCGCCAACTACGCATGCGCGGCCCCACCCTACCAGGGATGGAGGCGGGGCAGACCGAAGGCAGCTAGCGCCTCTTGCCCTAGGCGGAACCTGCGCGTATGCTTAATTAACACCACTCAAGGGCACCAGGGATTAGGATGGGCTTTCCGTGCAAATCAGAGCCAAGAGTTCAAAGACGCCCATGAGATCATCCCAGAGTCTAGACTGTTAGAACAGTGGTTCTGGATGCTTGTTAGAATTTGATTCCTGGCTCCCACACCCAGCAGCATGAGACCCTGGAATTTCTATTCCTCAGGCATTCCAGGTACCTGAGATTAAGTGGATTCACTGTCTGGTTACGAGGAATGCAGAAATCGGGGTATGAAGTAGAGAGAGCTGACTGGCTGAAGACAGAACAGCAGGAGTTGGATGCAGCCTGGTGTAGAACCTTGATTTCCCGACTTGAGCTCAGCTGCATCCCCCATTCCTCTTTCCCCTCCTGCTCCCTTTTCAGGGCATGATTTAATGAGCACCAGGCAAGCTGGCAGACAGTTCATTCACATTAGTTGGGCTGAAAGCTTCTTTCCCAGAACACCAAAGAACCACATCCAGCAACTCCACATCAAAGCCGCACTCCCAGCTCTGACCCTTGTAGAGCACTGCCTCAGCCTGTATAGGCTTTGGAGAAAGCTATGCACATTCCCATCCCCAGCAAACTGGCCTGTGATACGCAGATACACTTTCCTGTATATGTGGTCACGAAGGTCTCAGTCAACCTGAAAATGTAAACTCCTCCATCTCTGTGTGTTCCTGTGGAGCTGGGAGGGGGAATGTGACCCAGCCCTGTATATTGGATTCTGGCTCAAGTTTAGGCACGTTCAGTATCAGGCAGTGGCCTCAGTCCAGGGCAGCTGGATCATGTATGCAGACAGAACTTTCAAGGGCCTTGGATGGGGAAACATACACTCCCTTGCATAGAGAAGCTGCAGGATCAGCAGAGCTGGGATGTCTACAGGCATTCACAACCCCTACTCGGGTCACAGGATCCCACTGAAAAAGACAGGGCTTGTCTGTGGGTAGAGGGGAGGGGGCTTGAGGCTACAAACACTAGGGTCCTTCTGACTTTCAGAATCACCTCTCCCCTAGAAGGAGGGCAGCTAGAAACGCCACCAGGCCTGGGAAACTACAAGCAACTCCACTGCTTGCACTGGTCCTCTGGAGTGTTCTGTGAGTTGAGGCTGGTTGTTCTCTGTGCTGTTGTATCATCCTCCTCCATCCCTCCAAACCACTCCCTTCTATATCTGTCCCATCCCAGCCTGGCTTGTCTCAAAACCTCAAGTCTGCAGCTCTTTCCGAGAAAGCCAGTTCCTGGGGGCAGTTCCAACACTCCCTCCTGGCTCCAGATGTAAAGGAACAGCTGTGGGGGTGGCAGGCAGCCCAGTTGGCAGTAGAGCAGGACCTGGAAGATGGAGAATAAAGACCAGAGAGCCAAGCAAATGGCAGCACTTAAGATTTGAGGGACCTGAGAAAGACAGTCTCATTCCTTAGACCAGCAACTGGCTGGTGGGCCTTGCCAAATCCCTCCAGGGCTGTCCTCCAGCCCTACCCACTCCAAATCTGGCATCCTGTGCTGCTGCATTCGAAGGACCTTCCACTACCTCCGTTTTAGGATTCCCACTTAATCTGAGAAAGGAAATGGCTTTCTCTGTCTGACTCCACCCCGTCTTTAAAACTTGTACCTCCTGGTCAGACTTGGGTAATTGAAGAATGGTGAGGGAAAGGAAGGAAGATGGGAAGGGATTCAGCCACTCCCATCTGGCATCCTCTACCCCTCCTCCCATCCTTAGTCTCCCAGAATGTTAGATGCCAGTCTGGGTGTCCACAGACAGGGCTGATCTGGGCACTGCTTACTTGTCTGCTCTGCCAGGGTGGTAATGCTCGCCTGGGCACCATCTCAATAATTATTCCCCGGAATGACTGCGCCTTGCTGTAGTCTTATCAGGCCTGTGCGCTGCCACACCCCCAGCAGGTCCTCCCCAACCTCAAAGGACAGAGAGCTGACAACTGCTTCCGTTTTAGGAAAAAATATTTTAATGGTTGATTTGCAACCTCTTTGCCACATAAGGTCCCTTCTTGTTGGAACCCCCTCACCAGTGCTCTTCCCAAGCCCGCTGGGAGGTAGCAGCCCCTCTCTGGAGGACACCCTCCCACTCTTGAGGCCTCCATCCTCCAGGGAGGCCAGCTCTAGGTCTAGGCCTTGACAGGCCCATCACATGTTAAGTTTTATAAAAAAGTGGGCAGAACACTGTATTGTGCCCCTTTTCTGAATGCTATGGAACCAGCCCACAGCACTTAATTAAATAGCATGTTAAATAATCTTTTGGTGCTGGCAGAGAGGGGATGCCACAGCAACAAGCCCCCTTCCTTGGACAGGCTCCTGCAGCCTCAGCGTCTCCACCCTGTCTAAATCTGGACCTCACCAGAGTAGTCAGGGGTATGGCCTTGCTTGAGACCTGACCAGTCCCAGGACGCCCTCCCCATTAAAGGAGGGTGAGTCCAAGTGGATCGTACTGGTACCAGGCACTTCACAGCCATTAAACAGGAATCATCCAGACAGCAGAGTATGACAGATCTCGCCTAAGTCAGAAGTACGTGAGGTTCTTGACAGCTCCCATCTCCAGCATGCGCTTGATGGCCAGGGCCTCTTGGGAGACATTGTGGCCTGACCCCTGTGGAGAGAGCCAAGGTAGTAAACAAAGGGCTACCAGGCACCTCTCTGACCCCAGGAAGATCTCCCTCCCCTTCCCCCAGCTCCCATACTTCTTGGGAGATCTCTTCCCTATGTGGGCTCTCAAAAGACAGCAATCATGTGGTCAAATACAGAGGATACCAGCTGGAGTGCCCAGGTACCCTGGTGCCAGTTCTAACACTGAATGGCCTCATCTTGTGCCACTCTGTGCCCCTTCCTCTCTCCCAGTGTCCCTCTGGTGGTCTGTTCCCAACCCATCTGGCTCACTGGGCTGCTAAGCAAGGCCACTTACTGCCATGGATTTGAGCGTGATCTGCTCATAGTAATGGATGGTCTGCTTCTTGTTGAAGGCATCTGGGTAGCCAAAGCCAGCGATGTGCACCAAGTCACAGAAGTGGAGGGCCAGGGTGATGGCCAGCAGGCCTGTGGTCGGCTTCTGAGGAACAAGGTAGGAAGGCTTTTGAGGGAGCCCCAAACCTCCCCATTCCCCTGGGCCAGCACTGTCACGTGGCTTTCTACAGCCATGGAAATGTCCTTCGCCTGTCCTGCACAGCAGGACAACTGCCAGACAAGTGAACACCTGAACCAAGGAACTGGATTTGTTACTCTATGAATTTTTAAATTTTTTGTGGTGCTAGAGATGAGGCCTGGGTCTCATGTATTCTAGGCAAGTGTTCTACCACTGGCCTATACCCCATGCCCTAATATTGAGTTTTAAACTTAAATTGTCACATGTGTCTAGTGGCTACTATAGGGGTTATCCTGTCAGCTTGACTGGATTACCAAAGCACACTTAGGATGTATCTGTGAAAATGTCCAGAAAAGATTCTAAGGAGGGAAAACCCACCCTGAATGTGGGTGGCACCATCCCATAGGCCAGAGACCTGTAGGCAATCTCTCTGCCTTTAGCATGTCATGTGTGACAGCTCTACTCCATGTCTTCCCTGCCATGATAGACTAAAATCTTTGAAACCATGAGCAAAATAAATCCTTCCATTCTTAAGTTGCTGATGTCAGGGTTTGTGAAAGTCTGGCTGACACAGCAACATACTAGATAATACAACTTCACACCTCTGGGGGAAGGACTGGGTCTCTAGGGAGGATCATGGCTGTCAGGATGACAATCACCATAATACTCTCTGTTGCTTAGGGCCTATTGTGTGCCAGACACTATTAACATAGTATAATGCCTCATCTCAACCAGTCCTCCTCCTCAGCTCCTTTATGGGCAGATACCATTATTAGCCCCATTTTATAATGAGGAAAGTGGAACCTACAAATATTAAACACCTTGCTCAAAGCGAGGGAGAATCTGCCCTCCAGTGAGGTTTGACATTCACTGACTGTGTAGCCTTTTTTGGCAGAGGCTATCCCTTCTGTCAAGTAGGGGCAGTGATACCTTGCCTGTTCTCCCTATACCCACTCCCTCCATTCTCAATTTGGCCTCAACAACGGTTATGCTGATATTCATGAATCTCACCCTGCTTAGATCTAATAATATGCTTTATAGGACATTTCAGTCGGCCACTCCCCTCTGAGAGCCACTTTCTGGACCCCATCAGACCTTTTAATGTCAGCTTTCTTCCAGAATCCCTTTCAACTGTCTCTGTCTCCTCATTTTCTCAACCCTGGTGGGCCTTCTTTTTCACCTTACTACTTTCTTTTTTTTTTGAGACAGAGTCTCACATAGCCCCACCTGGCTTCAAACTCACTATGTAGCTGAGGCTGACCTTGAATTCCTTATCCTCCTGCCTCTACCACTCAAGTGTTGGGATTACAGGCATGCACCACTGCACTTGACCACCTTGCTGCTTTAACCACCCTGTGCTTTTCATCTAGTTTAGCCCCCTGTAGAATCACACTGCCATCGCCTCGCCAGCTCTGCCTGAACTAGGTTCCTTACACTCAGCACACTGCCCCTCCTCCTGGCATTCTCTGTATTAAATAAATATAGCACCATCCACCAGTCATCCGAACTAGAAACCTAGGAAACCTAGAACTGGCCATAAACCTCCCAATTCTACCAGTAAAATATAGGTTGTAGAAGACAGACTGTAAAGGGATCCCTGGTGACCCTCACTCTTTTACAATCTGATCTTCCCACAGTTATGTGGAACTTGCAAATAGGATGATTAAACATTTCATTGTTTCACACACAGCAATTGCTCTTAAGAGGGGAGACCATCCTGATAGACTGACCTAATTAACCCTCAAAATTTGGGTACTGAAATCAGGGATTAAGTAAACCAGAGGCGTGAGCTGTCAGTGACTTGAAGACGGAGGGAGCTACAGGGTAAGGAATACTTATAGTCTCCATGGGCTGAGGGTGCCCCCTCACACAGTCCACAACCAGCAAGAACAAGGAGACCCCAGTTCTACAGCCATGGAAACCTATGTCTTTTACCAACGAAAATGAGCTTGGAAGCAGAATTCCCACCAGGCCTCCAGACAGGAACTCAGTTCTTAGAATCAATCTGTGACACTTAAAGAACCCACAGGACTGTGAGCCAATGCTGGGGTATTTCTCAGGCTACTCATCTGGCTGTAATTAGCCAGCAGTGAAAACCTAGTCCAATATCAAGACCCTTCTTTTCTCTTCCCACTGCTAGGAACTGGGTTCCGGTCCTTGGCTTCTCTTACTTCCCTCTCGAGCCTTCACTCTATCACAACCCTATCCAAGGCATAAAAGTCTCCCTTGCTGCCGGGCATGGTGGCACATGCCTTTAATTTCAGCACTAAGGAGGCAGAAACAGGCCGATCTCTGTGAGTTCAAGCCTAGTTCCAGGCCAGCAGGAATATATAGTGAGACCCTGTCCGAAAAAAAAAAAAAAAAAAAATCTCTGTTGCTGCCCTCAACTCTACCCGAGCTAGAATAACTTGGTACTGGAGGGGGCTATTTGGCCACGACAAAATAGAATGCCTTCCTCCACTCTGTGCCTGATGCACCCCATGATCTCCAGGATTAATCCCAGTAGCACTTCATCTGTAGAGCCCTTCAGGTAGCTCAGCAGAAGTCTGCCCCACTCCGGGCTTCCAGCACACTTGAACAACTCTGTTGTGACATTTTATCACTATACAGCGCAACCTCCAGCTTATTCTGCTAGACTGAGTCTCCTCAGGGCAGGGGGCACAGCTTCCTCTCCAAGCACAAAGGCCCATCACTGAGCAGTCATACCACAGGCATTCAACATATGATCCTGAATAATACCAATAACCAAAAATAAAAAGCATTATTTAAAATTTGGCAAATATAACTGAGCATGGTGGCTCATACTTGCTGCAATCCCAGCACTTAGGATTCCTGAATTTGAGGCCAACCTGTTTCAAGAAAACAGTCAACAAAAAAGGGCAAATACTGATAGCACAGTCACTGTGTTCCAATCTTCATAACTGATTGCATCATTGCATTCAATAATGGTTGCGTTATTAACTTCTTAAATCCTACCATGGCCTTAAACCATCAGTACAAATATATCCCCCATCATACAGGCAAGAACTTGAAGCATCCCAGTAGCAGACCTGCCCAATACCAGAGTATGTGGTGCAGTCAAGAGTCCTGCTGACTTGCCTTCTTCTGCTGTCTCACATGCCCCCATGAGAGAGTCTAAGACACATGAAAAAACACTTGCAGAGTTACAATGTGAGTTGAACCCCACCAGGAGATAAAGTGCTAAATCAAAGCTGTAACTCACAAACTACCCCAGCTACTAAAATTGACACACCATCCCAAACCATGACATGCAAATGACGTTGGATCTCACACTCTTTGTACTCCGTTAGACTAGTATGTTCCAAGATCAGATCACAGACTAAGTATCTAATTGTAACTCTCCAATGACTCATGCTTTTCCAAAGACAGGGCCAGTAAGTGTCCCAGCAGCTCCCAGTTTACAGATTCTGACCAGCACCTGACAAAGGCATCCTCTAAGTCCAGCCCCCAAGTCCAACCTAGACCTTTCACTCACTCCCATGTTGAGAATGTCTCACAGTTCTCCTAAGTGTGAGCTAACAAGCCAAGAAACCTATCTTCAAAGGCCAAGTACAAGTTGCCACCTCTTATCCTTCTTTCCTCTCATGAGTTCCTCCACACTTTCAACCCACAACCCCAACCTCCCAGCTTGGTCTCATCATCAGCAGCCTGTCATCACCTGCTTGACCTTGCGTGTCTGTTGCATGGGGAGGCTCAGGAGCTTGTCAGCTGCAATCTCCATGAAGAAAGGGTTGAGAATCCGAATCTGTTTGGGGTTGACATCCCAGATGAGGGGAGGCTGTTTCCAGAAACCTTTTCTCACCTAGAGGGATGAAGTAAGAAGGGAGAGGGACAAGAGTATGAAGACCTATTTCTCAACTCCAATCCAGGTAGGGAATAGGATCCAAGTCAAGGAAGATACTCAAGAATGCAAGTGAGAAAGAAGGGAGGGAGGGCCTGTGACAGAGATGGGAGGCCAAAGGGCACTATGTCAAGAAGGTAAACTGACAGCATGTGGAGAGTGTGAGATCTAACCACTGCTCACTTTGAAGATATCCAGATAGGAAGGGGCTTGAGCCTTCAGTTGCCTACATACTAGGCAAAAGATGCCAGTTCAGCCCTCAACCAGATGTGAGGAGTGGGCTCTCTATGGGGACCATCAGAAATGGCATAAAGTTGGTTTCTAGCCTGTTGCCTGTTCCAAGGTGACTGTAGGAAAGCTCCCCTGGTCCCAGGTTTCTCACACATTCTGGCCACCCTTCTGTCCCATGAGTGGGGACCTTTGGCTACCACTCCAACTCCTATAGGCTCTCAAGCTTCGTTTCTGGGGCAGCATATCATCAGCACTATAGGACAATGCCCTCGGTTGGAAGCTTAAGGCACTGACTGTGGAGAGCTCTACCCCTTAACCAGCTCTTTAGGATCATCACAGGACACTCTGTGGGACATGAAACCCTGACTGGGACAGTGTCCCCATCCCCATGTCTCTTCCTCCCACCTGTTTCCCAACTTACTCGCTTCTTATCACCCAAGATGGTCTCAATCCAGTGGAGGTCCACTGCCTTGAAAGCTACCAGGACCAAGAGTGTGTCTGGGTTGTTCTCTACTTTGGGGTCAAAGTGGGCAGACTCGGGGTAGAAGAGACGCATGGTGGTCTTGGAGCCTACGTCTCCCTCATAGCCAGTCACTGGGGCATTGTTCAATCTGGATCAGGGAGAGGATAGCCATTATTGGAAGCCCCATTTAGGACATCCAGTTCCCAAATGGAAACAGGAGGGATGGTTACACACACCTGATAACCACATCATACTTGTTGATGATGCCTCCCAGTGAGCTGTTCCGCAGCCGGTGCCCATTCCCCACCACAACACAGCGACGACACTTGAGGCTGCCATGGAAAGAGGAGAGGTCAAACCCAGAAGTAGCCCCTGTTCTGTTGTACTCTCACTGGTCTTAATCTGCCTGGGGCCCAGAATGTGGAGAATGTAGGGTCCAATCACGGCCTACTTCAGAGATACCCAGATATGAAAAAAAGAGGCTTGAGCCTTAGGCTCTCCACACACTGGGCACTGTTTCTAGGCTCTCCTCAGCCTCTGCTCTGCATGGATGAGGCATCGCCGAGCTGCCCTGATAATGGTCCTGCTGACCTGGGCCTCAAAGTGAGATGCAACTGAGCTGAGCAAGGGAGAGAGATAACAAGAGGAAAGAAGGCACATAAGAGCATCACAAGAAACCCCAGCACAAGAGCTGAACATGGTGGTGTACACCTGTAATCTTAACACTCAAGAGGCAGAGGCAGAAAGGTTCAGAGTTCAAAGGCAGCATATAGAGCTATAGAGAGAGACAAAGGCAGCATATAGGGCTATATAGAGAGACACTGTCTCAAAAGACAAAAACAAATAATTATAAATAAATAAATAAATAAATAAATAAATAAATAAATAAATAA